TCCAAAGCTGGCTTTCAGCATGTGAGTTAGATCTGTTGTGTCTCTTGATAAAGGTATCTAGATTTGGAACGCCTGCCCCCCAGGCCCTAGGACCTCTGGCGCGGTTTCTTGCAAAGGCAGTGACTGTCAAGTGATAGTGGACTCGCATCAGACTCGTATCAGTGAAATCAACATGTCTGCGGTAGGTTGATGCAGTCAGAACGATGTCAGAAAGATGTGAGGTATCTTCAAACCGAAAGAGCTGCCACTCTGAAGCTCGCTCCTTCTAGTCTTTCGTATCTTTTTCGATCTCTGTTTGGTTAACAGTCCTTCGGAATCCTTTGGAATCGGAATCCTTCGGTTCTCTCCGTTGGATCTTCGTTTTGGTCCGTAGGCTTTCGAAACTCGACCAGATGCCCGGCCCGTGCTGCTTTCGGCCGCAGTCCCGCCCCTTGGCACAAAGCTCCGCGGCAAACATCAAACATCTCCGAAGCATCTCCGAAACTGCCCGAACAGCTCTGTCTAAGTCTTCAAGATCTTTAAGCCGTGACGGGAGACTTTTCATTATTTCAGAAAATGTCTCAGGTTGGCAAGGCGTGCTGGTGCTGAGGCCTGCTTTCCAATCTTGGCACAGAATATTCCAACAGGTTGTCCTTCGATGTCCTTGGTACATTTCGGTTTGTGTGTGATTTGCTGAGGCTGTGGAGGCACCGGCAGCGACAGATTTGTTGACGATACGGAGACGAAGTGACACAAAGCGAAAGCTCCATAGAACACATTGACAAATGATACAATGGTCCACTCAAAGCTGTTTGAATGTTTAATGAGTTTCATGAGTTTCATGAGTTTCATGAGTTTCATATTCACTATGTGTCTCCTCTTGTGGCCTGGCTTTGGAGTGATGTTCTCTCATGTCTCGTTTCCATCAGTCCTGAATAGCACCACAGGGGCTGTTCCGCAAGTCGGCGAGGTTTTCGTTTCCGGGAACAGATTCGGGTTGGTACGGACACCTCTTGAACCACAATAGCAGGTCCAAAGTATGACCTCTGAGTTGCTGGAAGGTGTGGCCATTGGAGTGTGCAAAGCTTTGCAAAGCTATTTATTTGTTGGGAGAACATTTCAAACTGTTGAAGTGTTGTTCTGACTTCCCAGTGTGCATTCCTTGATGGTCAATGACGGTCAAATCTTCAACTGTAAACTGGCCAGGTTTAGTACGACTTGCCTCAGCGCAAATGACTCAGGCGTCCCTTTGAGTTTGGTGCATCCAGTGCCACAGGCAACACAGATAACACAGATAACGCAGAGAACACAGTTTGTGATGCAGGTTGTTTGGCACCGGAACACACGACCTTTGGATTTCTCGGAAGGTGGAACCGAGCCTTCGACTTCTCACTGAGGCCGATTTTCCAAACTCAGTCGAAAGGATTCGAAAGGAACAAAACAAAACACTTTGACAAGACTAAGCAGACTAAGCAGACTAAGCAGTTTGTGCAATCAGATGAGATCTGGCAGCCGGCACTTTAGATCACAGTCTGTGACAGTTCTTTGACACTTCTCGTCAGGTCTCCGTGTGGCCTTTCGAAGGCCTGCAGTGGTCGTGGATTGGACGTTGATCATTTGGGATCGTTTCGGTACTCGTTGCATGGTTGTTCTGCAGTGCACATTTCGTCCATAGCGAAAATGAGTCAAATCAAATAGAGTCCGAAACGAGAGTTGGAGCCAAGAGAGACCAAAGCCTCCAACGTGGAAGAAGGTTGAAGCCAAGCATTCTCTCACAAAATCATGTTGCGAATTCTCCAGCTCCCCAACACACTTTGATCTCTTGGTACGTACATAAATGGTTTGCTTCATGACTTTGCATTTCATGTTGGAAAATTTGACAAGGCACTGAAAGCACGCCCCCGATCCACATGACCGACGGCGAGCGGCGACTTATTGAGGCCTCTCATGTGATCACCAGGACGTTGTAGTGATTGCGGAAGCATGGGAAATGTGATGAAACGGGTGATGCCAATGCGATAAGAAAAGTATCGATCGCAAGGTCAACCGAGGCCTTACCCTCAAGGATCAACACACAAATGGACATGAAAGTTTAGAATTTTGCGGACGACCCCAAAAAAGCGGCAATTACAATCAGAATCAGGGCGGAACAAGGGCAGGATCAGGAAGGACCTGAGAACAGATGGAGGGAAACATCGGGAAACAAAGTGGCCAAGTGGCGAAAGCCTGGACCTGGGAGATCCTGGGAGATCCTGGGAGCGCGACAATTTTCACAAAATGAAGCACTTGTAAAGCACGGATCGAACTTGTCCCAGGCACTCTGCGAACTTACCAGAGAGGCCACGACGGAGACAGAAACCTTGCCGACCTTGTCGCTCTCAATGAAGTGGTTTCTGAAACATTCTGAAACCACTGGTTTTGTGTAGTCGGGAGGGAAGAACAGGTATGAATCGGTATGAAATAAGGCCAGACGTTTGAAACCGTTGTCATTGGTCGCAGGCTGGTCGCCATGTGCCAGTTGTGTTGCTTCAAGGTGTGATCCAGAGTGTGTACTGAGATTATTGAGATAAGTCAAGATGGATTGGTGGAAACACCCAGTCTTTTCGTGTGTTCTTTCAGAAAGCTCAAGTTTTTTAAAGCTCAGCTATTCGTTTTTATTTCAGGGCAATGCCTGGCTACGGTTTGGCAAGCTGCTGTCGCACTCGTCAGCTTCCCAAGCAGACTCATGTTGTGAAAAACGTTGGCCTACCAGAAGTATCAGAAGTACCACTGAAGTGCCCTTTGATGCTGTCCTCACCCAGGTGGCAATTCCGCAAGAACAGCCTCCTGTGAAAACGTTGACTTTGCTCGCGGAGGTAGGCAGATTAAAGTTTCACGAGCATTCATAAGTTGATTCATGAGGTGACACAAGCTTCATCATTGCTACGCACCTTCTCTGCTCAGAACTGTTGTTACTCGTACTTGAAGTTACTTGTACTTTCGTGGATGCAAGTTCGGACTGCTTATCACGTTTGCAGACTATGAACGAGGTATGGGCTGAGAGCACTGGATGCACTTCTCCTCAAGGCTTCCAATGCAAAGTGTGTTTTTTTTTGCCCAGGGTCAATTGGCTAGTCTCAAGCAAAGTTCTCCAGGGCTTCGCGAGCAGTTGCGGGATCGACTGCAGAGTGTCATGCAGGCGGATCGCATTCCTTTGTCGACTCATGTCCCTTCAAGTCTGTTGCCACTGCAGCAAGACGTCGCTGAGTTCCTCAAGTCCCAGGTTATTTTACCCTTTTGTCTCAGCAAGGAGACAGTCACAAGACAGCAATCGATTCCCAGAAGGTAACACAATTTCTGACCAATTTCTGACGTGAACCGATGTGTTTCTTCAGGTGCGCCATGGCAACTGGACGCTTGGAGCTCTTCAGCTGCGTCTGAATCTCTGAGTGCAACGGGAGCGGGAAACTTCTGAGAAACTTCCTGAGAATTCATCATGAGAACCTTGTAATCGTGTGTAGCCGGAGTTTCTCAGTTTCTCCTGGTTTTTCGCAAGTTCAGGTGCTGTTATGAAGGTGCAGCACTGTCGTGTCGACTTTGAAGACTTTCACCATTGGGGGAAGATCGTAGCACTGAATGCGAATCATCACATCTTGTGTGGGCAGGGGCATTCTAACATATTGTGTTTGAAGAAGACTCCACTTGAGTGTTGGGATGATTTTGCTTTGTAGATGTGACAGCGATACTTTGGAAGAGTGTTGAGTTCTCAGCCGCGCTTCTGGCCAGGCACTGCTTGGTGCGGAGCCCTGAATTGCATTTTTTTTTGCAAATGTCTAAACGGATCTAAAAGGTTTGACAGGTTTGAAAAGAATTTCACTTGAAATCACGACGTGAGATTCTGATCGATTGCACCGCTTTGCAAGGCCAAATGCCACCCAGTGCGCTTGGGGTGTTGATCCCTGCAGCCAGAGCACTTTTCCAACACGGTGCTGCAATTGCCAGTAGCTTTCACGCAAGTTTCGCTACGTTCCGCTTGCAAATGCTGAGAATTGGATGATGAAACTTTGACTTGAGAGCTTTCAGTGGTCCTCCATGCTCAAAACATTTCACTTCGTGCCGTGCCACAGTGCAGGCCAATGTAAGCATTTTCTTTGTACTGTTTCACAGTGGCTTCGTCCCTGTTTGCCAAATCTGCATCTTTGTTCCTTTGTAGCGAGGCCCAGTTTGAATCAACTCTTAGCAGCTCGCCCAAGCTTGCCCAAGGTGGATGGGTCACCCAAGCAGCTTCTGGGGACTTCCCACCTGCAACGAAGGCTGCGGCACATATTGATACATATTGCACGTCCGATTTCTGGTGGTGGCACAGACATACTACAGATATGCGCATTTACACACTTGTGCATATCACATCACCGCATGCACGGAGTAGAAACCAAGAGTGCAGAGCGTTGGACACAATCGCAAACATCTAGGTGGGCGCTGATTCAGTTGCTGCCGTTTCAACTTTCTGCTCAAAAGTCTGAAGGATGCAAAATCCAATGTGTTTCCAGCATTTGGTCCAGCGCGGATCCAACTGGTGCCATGGAGGAGCAAAGATATGTTCATCCAGTTCAGTACATGCAGCTCAGATAACATTTGTATGTTTTTATGGATCTGTGAATCTATGAGCATGTGAATCCATGATGATTCATGATGTCTGCTCTCCGTCGCCTCTAGTCCATGACCTTCCCATGGGAATTTTTTACATTGAACTCATTGAAGCAGTGTTTGACACCGAGGTATAGTGATACTCCTACGGTTCTGATTAGTCTTTGGTGCGGGGGGCTCTTCTGCGCAGTTCTAACGATTGCCGTTACTGTTTACAATGTGCGACGTCACTACGAATCAGCACGAGAGCAGGGCTTAGGGCGCCTTGGCTGGAACCAGCTGTGCGCCGTGAGCACCGATGGATCTGACAACAAACGATTTCGATTGTCATAGAAGGGCAACGTTGATTGAGTTGGCTGAATGCTTGGAACATGTTTGAAGAATGTCACATCATTACATCATTTTACATCATATGACATCATATCACATCATGTTTCAAGTTACCGTTTCTTTTTCATCTTTGTCGCATACATTTTTTTTCGTTTTTTTTTTGCTCAGATCTTTTCAGCCTGGTTTCCTGCTGAGACACCATGAAATGCTGCCGTCTTTCGGTGCCCGAGCTGATCGGATCATGCAGCTGTTGCTGGTCCCAGCCGTCGGGGCCGTCACCTCCGCTGCGCAGATGTTCATGCCTGGGGCAACTCCGTCCCTTTGAAAAAAAATCTGAGGAATCTGTAGTATCTGTAGTGGGGTGAGGTTACTGTAACTGAGAAGTTACTGACAAGTTATTCATGATACTGTCATGAGACTGTCATGATACTGATGGTTGTGTGAATGATGCAACATGATATGCAACATGATACAACAATCCTAGTGCCCTAGAGACTTGTGACACAGAGACGCCAATCTTTTTCCTCAGCATTCCGCAGCCAAGGATCTTGTCCTTGATCAGAGTATGCCAGTGCCTGGGCAGATGGCACTATGGCAGTCTCTTCTTTTGCTCAGGAATCCTACAATTTTGACCTCAAAGACTTCTGTATTTGGGGATCCAGTCAAACATGTCCACCGAAATGCCTTGCATCTTGCCAATTGTGGGTTTGGAAGGGTTTGACCGATCTTCCAATGCCATGGGAGACGATCACCAATCCGCAGTCAGCATTGACCGCGATTGATGAGACTCAGCAGTCTTACCGGCTGTGATAGACAGCAACATGCAAATCAGGTTTTCTGTTGCGATGCGAGATTTGATTGAATTCCTCTTCGTATTGAATGGCAGTCAGCAGCACATCGTGGACAATTTGCCCAAGGACGCGCACGAGTGAGACTCAACCATACGATACGTGTGTTTTCCGGTCAACACTTTCGACAATGCCTGATGCCTTTACTATGCATGTTGATGCAATTTGATGCATTTGTCTGAGATGCGTTAGGAGAAAATCACACTTTTCTCGAAATTTCCACTCTGTTGCGTCTTTGGCTGGTCCTGCTGTGCTCATCGACCCCGTTTGGGACACTTGCGATTCTTTGTGGCTGGCGTGAGGCAACTGAGTCTGAACAGAACTTTTGAATACTGCTAATAACCTTTGTGATTTCAAAAACCGTTCTGAGGCAGTGAGGGTTTTTAAGATTATGCATTGCTTTTGCATGGGTTTTGTAGTTTCGGTGCTTTTGCTAAGGCAATTTAGTCTCCTTTTGCCACTCTTTGGCGCAGTGGATGTCTATATTGATGACCGGGAAGGTATGCCTGGCGTCGCGGTCTCCCAACGGGTTTGTGAAACGGTCATGGCTGTCAGCACCTTCCTCGCCATGTGGAGCTTCAAATGTTTGTTGCCGTTGATGACGCGGTCCATCCGGGCAGAGGACATCGATCCCGAGCGCATTTCGGCCATGGAGAGGCGACACATGGAACATGTAAAAAAAACATCAAAAACATGGCAGCCATGGCAGCCATGGCAGCCATGGCAGCCATGGCATGTGCAGCACATGTGCAGCACAGAGCATGACCCCTATGGATCCCTATGGCCCATGGCCCCACATGGAATTTCCTCAAGGATATTTAGGATATCTTTAGGATCATTTCTCCTGGTGATCCCAAATCCTTGTGGCAAGTTGTGACTTTGCGTGCCCTGGACTTCATGAAGATTCAGATTTGATTCAGAATGGCTTCATGTTTCGCTTGTTTCATCAATGGCTTCTGTGAATGGATTCCGTGTTGGCTTCCGGGAGGTTCGTGCTTCTTCAGATGGCTGCTGCCAAGCTGCTCGGTATGCTGATACCACGAATTGTCACTCACAACTTGTACTCAGAGACTCCTGGTGGCTGGGTGATGCCAAAGCACTACTATGTGACCATCATCACAGGCTAGAATGGAAGGGATGGGGACACACTTACTTTTATCAGATTTTATCACTTACAGTAGTTCTTCAGATTTCTTTCTGCCAAGTCACGACGTCACTAATTTATTGTAGGCAGGAAGTTGCTGTTTTCCCTTCAAACTTGTTTTTGTCTGTATCCTAGCGCTGCTGCGTTGCACCTTCAAGGCTATCGAAATGAGAAGTGCATTTTGTTGGCCAATCAGTCAAGACTTTCGAAGCCCAAACTTCCTCAATCAGAAAGTCCTTTGTCATCGTTCAAATGTGCCAGGCTTTATGCTCACAGTGGTGCAATTCATGCTGTCCCTTCTGGGCGCGTGTGCATACAATGCTGATGAAACGATATATCCTGAATTGGACGAAGATCCTCGGCATAATGCCCTTGTGAGTGGTTTAATGACCGGTCAACTCTTTCCTGAAAGAGCTACGTACTATTGTACTGTTGCGTGAGCGGAAGGTGGAAGGTGATTGAAAACGATGCAGAAAGTGCCACACTTTGCAAGGCTCCAGCAACCGACATTCACACACACACATTCGATTTGGCTGGGCAATACTTGAAATGGACTTGCTTTGGTCTCTGTGCCAAGGCTCAGGATATTCCGCCTGATGCTCTGGCCTTGCTAGACATGAATGGCATTGATGTGACGCGCTGGAAGCGCCTCCAACATTTACAGTATGGATATGACGCTTGAGATGCGACAGGAATCGTAGACCTCAGCAAAGCTCTGATTTTCACCGGGAGAATTGATTTGCAAAAAACGGCGCGGCTGGGATGCACGACACGACGAAAGATAGAACATATAGGAAAGCTATGGAAAGCTATGGACAACTTTTGTCTGCTCTTTGAATTCTTTTTTGAATTCTTTGGGCTCTTTGAACTTACCCATCTTACCCTGCTTGTAGCTGACTTGTAGCTGACTTGCCAGGAAACGACCAAAGCCCGCTTCGTGTCACACCGGCCTGTCACTGATAGCTTCCAGATCTCCCAAGACCAGGGCCTTTTGTAGCTGCATCACTTCACAGAGAGACACGGGCCGCCCATGACAACACTTCCAGCATACCTCCAACAAACTTTCAGGCAGGAGCTGGTGGCTGGCCAAGCAGATGACACTCGGCAAGCAGATGCGAAGCAGATACTTTGGAAACGCCTTAAGGCACTAATCAGCGACAACATTGGACTCCAGAGACTGGTTCTACTCAGTCTACTCTCCATTCAGATGTCAAGACTTGGGAATTTGTCCATGCTAAGGCGCAGAAGTTCAAACAGGCTCTAAAGCGCTTCTGCACGAAGAAGAAGAGCGCAGAGTGAAAAAGGGAATTCGAAGCTGAACGCATCACGGCCGATGACGACAATCGCAAACTTCAAACATGCCTCACACTCACATCATCATTATTTGTGTTCATTTCAATCCTTACACGCCCTCACAAGATCTCGCAAGATCTTACAAGATCGTTAGGTTTTTTGAAAGCTCTTGCATTGCCACTGACACAGGTGGTCATCGAACCTCTTTGTGGCTGGCTTTTGAGCCTTGGCCACATCTTCTTCGAGGCGGGGAAGCAAAGACTCGGCGTTGTCATGACATGACTATGACATGACGACATGACGACATGACTGCCTTTCCTTCATTTTCATTTTTCTCATTTCATGTAAAAAAGCATAATTCTTTCTTTCTCTCGTTTCGTCCTTTGTTTTCCTCAGGAGCATCTCAAGGAGCCCGTCCTCGAGGTGCCTCCGGAAGATTTGGAAACGGGACCCAGGGCAGACTCAGCAAAGACAAACGCGGATGAACGCGGATGAATTCGAATGAATTCGGATGAACGTGGAATGTGTTGGACAAGGTGTTGGACAAGGTGTTGGACATGTCACCGGTGCTCCAGGTGCAGTGGGCACTTGGCTGGATGCTGGTGGAAGCCTTCAAACAGTCTCTTGGTGTCGAGATGTATCGAGATGTATCGAGATGTATCGAGATGTATCGAGATGTATCGAGATGTATCGAGATGTATCGAGATGTATCGAGATGTATCGAGTCGCCCAAACGAAGAATTATGAAGAATTGTTTGGAGAGCTGGAGACGATGTCAATCTGCCATCAAGCTGCCATCAAGCTGCCATCATGCTGCCATCAGCCATCATACGCTTCCGTCTCCACGGGGTGCCGAGGAGACGGCGAGACCCAGAAGAGGTTGAGAGCCTCAATCTCAGGACAAAGGCACTGCCAGGCACTGGAAACGTAGAGAGACTTTAGAATCAATTAGAAGTGGAAAGATTCAGAAAATCAACATCTGCGGGAAGGACCAACTAATCTGAAAGAAAATTGAAAAAACGGCACATGAAAAGCTCTTGGATGAAATTCGCTGAAGCTGGTGGGAATCAGAATTGGTTCCTGAGGACCCAAAGAACCGCCAAAAAAGCGTGGTCTCTCCTGGGTGACCAGGTGCAAACAGTGCCATGTTGGAGACATGATGCTTGCGCAAAGTGGTGATGAGATGAGTCAAGATTGGAGCTGGGGGCATCTTGTGGTCGTCGTTTGGCTTTGGAGGTGGCGGTGAAAAATTGGGCCAAAAATGGCCAAATAGTTTCTACATGTTTCTACCTTTTCACCTCAGATTTGAATCTTGATCTCAAGGCCCAAGCAAAAGCCCGTGGACGTGATGACCCTAGTCAGCGCGCTGTCGATTCTATGAGCGTATTGCGTATTGATGCGTATTGTCCACGGAGCATGTGGAGCTTCAAGGTCTTCAAGGTGCCGATGGATGGGGAGTCCCTAGTCCCTCTCCTGTCTGAGGTGCCTGAGGTGAATCCGCGTGAACAAGAGGATGCAGAGGCCTTGTTGTAGCCAACACAAAGTTGACAAAGAAACACAAAAATGATGGTCAACGATTATAACTACATATTATATAATATAATATAACACTTGAAGTAACACTTGTCGAAAGACATGTTTTGTTTTACTTTCCGGGAAGAATGGCACAGGATGCTACAAAATGCACAGGTTATTGTTGCTGCTTTTTGGGCTCCTTTTGGCACTTGTCGGTCAGCGGCCGTCGATATGTAGGCGATTGCAATGGCTTCCCGGCTCACGCAGTTCTTTGCACTTCTGCATGCAGCCCAGACAGCGGACAGGGATGGACAGGACATAAACGTGATGCACGAGACAGCACCTGGTACAGCTCTCGCATAGTCTAGCATGCAAGTGCAAGAAACAGTTCATGAACACTCCAAGACAGTCTCAACAATCTCGACAATCTTGTTGTTGTCATGAAAGTTTGTACGTGTTTCCTCTTTCAAGGCTTTGATTTGGATTTTGGATGGTTCAAAGCCAGCGTCTCGTGAGGCCAAAACTCCCAGGGAAGCATGGGGCACCCATGCTGTCCCTGGCGCTAGAGTCAGTGGCAGAGAGTTCCCTGGAGAAAAAAACATGCAAAAATAAAGTTGTGTTGAACGAGGTTGAACATTTTCGAGCAAAGCTTCAAAGCAACCCAGGTGGTTTGTGGAGGCGTGGCGTGCTACTGCCCCACAACGAGGATGGCCAAACTCGTTGGCTCAGGACGGGCAAATATAATATTTGGATGTATTTGGAAGATGTGAAACAAGATGAAACAAGATGAAACAAGACTCAATTCTGTGAAACCGGAAGATTCACAGGAAACTTCTCGGAATCTTCCGTGAATCACAGATTACACACGTGAAATCACGCCGCCTGATGCCTGTGAGTTTCTAGAGGAACTTCTCATGGCCAGAGCTGTTCAACTTTGTCCACGAGCGTCTCCCGACCGAGATGCGCTTTCGACTCTGGAGGCAAACGGTTTTGCATGACGCTTTTCTGGAGGAAGATATTTAACATTTTTTTGACAATACTTGAAGGTCTTTGACAATATTTGACATATTTTGATCTTATATGACTTATATGCTCCAAGTCTGTTTCAAATTGAGAGACTTTCGGAATCGATGCAGGTGCTCTCTGCAGATTTGTGTCAGCAGCCCCGAACTTGCTCCCTTGGCGGTGCGCCCTGCATCGCAGTCGTACTATGTTGTACTCCACTAACCATTTCAATAATGTGGGACAAAAGTGAGCCAAGGCACTTGAAAGACATCAGCAGCTTCGGAAGTAGATGAACTGCAGAAACACATGTGACAGTTGTGTTGAAGCACCGGTGCCCCCCGTGCCTTCTCAACTCCTCTCACACCGTTCAGCCAGTTTTGTGGAATTTGAAGCGTGGTGGGAGAATCGTTCGGTGTGCAGTAGGATCAGTAGGATCTCACTTTGAGTACTCCATTGGATCTATTGTCACAATTTGTCACATACATCATATCCGATGAATCTTTCTCTGCGTTTCATCCTCTTTCCATCTTTGTTTTTCATTGTTTTTCCACGGAAATTCGTCACAGGAAATTCCGTTTGCCTTGGCGTCTGCGGCCGCAGAAGCACCTCCAGGAGCAGTTGTCAGCTGTGTTGCAGCTGTGCAGCCGTGGCCGTTGGCATCGCGCATCGCCAGGAGCACCGGAGCTGCTACAGGAGGCCCTGGACCTCGGAGCAGATCCTGAAGCATTGGCCGTGGCCTCGAGATGTCGGCAAACGACTTGGAAAAAGTAGTAACACATAGCAGACATAGCAGACATAGCAACACCACATGGATGACTCATGAGATTTGTATAGATTTGTGAGATATCATTTGTATCATCCGATAAGACTGATTTGATAAGAGTTTATATCACTTGATAACTCTGAAAAAAGTATGTCGTGTTCCGAGGGGCCACTGTGCTCACGGCTGCCAGTGCCGCCGAAGGTGGACCTTGTAGTCACGAATAGAAAACTGGAAGGAAGAACCTGGAAGAACCTGGAAGAACCTGGAAGAACCTGGAAGAACCTGGAAGAACCTGGAAGAACCTGGAAGAACGATAGAACTGAATAGAATTGAAATCAAGAGATGCAGTGAAGCGCCGTAGTGAAACTGTGTGTCTTCAGAGTTGGCATCTTTGGCATCTTGGCGCCTTGCCGAGTGCCGAGATGTGTCGAGTGTCGAGTGTCCAGGCGAAGAAAGCGCCTGCCCTAGGCGTGCCGCCCGAACCCAAACTTCTGCTGGCGCCTGTGCGGATCCTCAGGATCCGCCGGGCGTTGTTACTCCGGTGATGCCACCAGTGATGCCACCGGTGATGCCACCGTTCTGCTCTAACTTTGCTACATCGCTCTGTGCATTCGAATTTCTACGACATCCTTTTTTTTTCATGTTCTGTCGGCTCGTATGACGGCAAAGTTAGTCATTCCCAGCTCAATTGGTTGGCAACTTCCCGGTCCGACAGAAGGGGAACTCTGGAGATGATCAAGCAGGAACATAAGGAACACAAACACAAGGAACAAGACACCTGGCTCAGACTGAGAAGGAACTCACCTTTTCTTTTTTTTTTTTCAGGTTTAAGTGCCCTTTTGCAGTGATTCCGCTGATATCTACTGTGCACGTCTGCAATTTAGTTGATTTGCTCACAATTGCCAACAATTGCACACACACACAGACTTTTCATAAATGCCATAGACATGTACATGCAGATCTCCAGATACAGCATACATGCACAAGGATGCACTTATGATCACAATCTCATGTTGGATTTGTATCTTTATCTACATTCCAAGCGTTTCCAGTGATGGCAGTGATGGTTCTCCAACTTTCTGCGGTGACATGTGCCCAAGGCAGATGGAGTGAATGCTGAAAACGAGCGTAGAGCTGAATTGGCGTCCTTGGGCATCAATATCGAGGCAGATGGACTTTGACAAATCGTCTTGATCGGTCTTGATCGGTCTTGATAGGTCTTAATCTGTCAGATTTGAGTCTCGAAACATCTTGAAACACCACCTGATAGATGTCGGGAATGCTGCAAATGTCGCAGGTCTGGGCTCCTTCTGATTTGGAGGTAACATCGTCAGATTTGAGTGTTGAGACCGGGAAGATATGGATGGACTGACTTTTGGAGTTGATCAATTTCTGTCCAGACATGTTGCCAATCTAGAGATGCCACTGGATGGCACGGTATGATCGGTATGGCTTGATTGAGTTGAAGTTAGTGAATATATGTAACATAGCTGAACATAGCTGAACATATTGAATATATACATATGTGAACATGCATTGCACGTCTGGAAGTTCAAGGAATCTTTGCTGCTCAAGTGTAGAGGTGCTAGGTCGATTCAAAGTGGTCGCAATGGGTGCGCGCGTGTCTGCAGTGAAAGGAGAAGAGGCTGAAAGGTTGAAGAGCCAACTGCAGGATCTTTGGATTTTTTTTCGCAAACAGTGGTATTTGATCGACACATTCTTGCCACATTGACACATTGACATGTTTGACACATGTTTTTTGGTGCTACTTGGTCACTTTCGGCGCCAGGAGGGCTGCACTCTAGCAGCGCAAAGCATATGGGAGGCAGAAGTCATGGTCTTCTGTACCTCGGACTCCTCGGACTCCTCGGACACAGATCATTTTGGAGTCGATTTGAAGAGGCATTGTGGAAAATATATTGAAAATATCATGAAAACATGTTAAATTTTGTTAAATCATGAATATTCAGGGAATATCATAAAAAAACATTGTGAATCATTTGCAAGGCCAGTGAATGCCAGTGGCTGTTTCCAGCCTTGATCGTTCACTTGTGTGGTTTGAAGTTCGACTGTGACAAGACGCCAACAGCCGAGTGAACGGCGCTGGATTTTCGGCTGATTCTGGCCTTGCAGTCTACGCTGATGTGGCGAAGGCATGGACGAGTGAGGGAAGTTTCAGGAAAGTTTGATGCAGTGCTACTGTTGCGCAGTGTACATCAGTTTGTCATCAGTTTAAGTTTACAGTTGAAGTTGAAGTCTATGTCTACGTCAGCTGTCCTTTTGTATCCTTTTGTTGTTTTCTCGCTGAGGTCCCGGCCTATGCCAAGCGAGGTCTGACATATCAGGACGTTTGCCAGCCTCATTGGCTTTACGAAGAGCCAGAATTATTCTGGGGCTTCTGGGGCCAATGCCTCTTGGCTCAGAGGTCCTTGATGTTTGTTGAATTCTAACGATGATCGAAGGTTGATAAAAGTGATTGAAAGTGACTGGTGTAGCCTGGCCTCAGATGACTTGAACTGATATTTGTTTTCATCGTGCGGATCCTGGCATGGACCCATCATTTCGACTGCATTTCCCAAGGTTACAACGACTACCGGCTGACGGACCCTCACGAGGGATATGAGATTATCCACCACTGGGTGACTGGCTGGGTGTTATGGACAAGCATCACTGGAAACATATGATCCAGTGAATCCAGTGGTCTTTTGCAGAATGTCATAATTGAATAATAATTGATGTCAATTGCAACTGCTTTGGCAAAGAGGTGGGAAAGCTGTTTCGGCATACCGACGTGTCGAAGCAGCTCCAGAAGATGTGCCGCGAAGCAGATCGGACGGAGGAGATTTGCGTCGACACCGTTGTTGAATGTTGTTGAGGTAGCTGATGGTAGCTGTAGTGGCTGCAGCTGTAGCTTGAGTGGGACGGTGGTTCCAACATGTTGTCATATGTTGTCATTTTTTCGGTAGGATGATGCCAGCAACAAAGCTGCAAATTAACGGAAGACCTGCAGCTTCAGACTGATTCGAATCTCAGATTTTACCAGTTTCGAGTTGTGCTGTGTTGCCAAGGTCCCTACGAGGTCAAAGGACGCGCGGGGAGCTTCTTCATCCATACTTCGAATGTCGATGCTCATCACTATGATTGGCTCTTTGACCCAAACATCGTGTTGCCATGTCGGTGGGTGAACAAGTTTGTTGCTGCTTGAAATGGAAGCAGCTGAAGCAGCCGCATAGCAGAGATTCTTTGAGTGGAGAGAATCTCTCCATGTTTCAAATCGGTCTACCTGTGCAAGGTTCCCAGCCTGTGAAATCCGTGAATGCCACGGGAACACCGAGCTTTACCAGTGCGCTGGGAGCAGGAGCACTGTTAGATCTGTTAGATTGAGCATGGAAGTCTGACATGTTGCTGAGATATTCAGAGTGCAATCGAAAGAATCATTCTGATTCGAGTTTCGACGGACTTGACCGCGTCCACAGCCGCAGCCCCTCTGCCCCATTTGTTGCTGCTTTGTTCTGGACCAGGCACGGAATGGATCGACTCAAAGCCAGTGACGATCGATGTCCTTGGGACCTCATAAGTTTTTGAACGTTTTTGCTTAATACGATCCACTCAATCCACTTCAACGTTTAGAGATTTGTGTCCCAGATTTTGATAGATTTTCAGCTTGCATTCAAATTGTATCCTTGGGAGAAAGACTTTGTTTGTGCTGCTCTCCGGTAGCATGAGGTCAAGGAATTTGGCGCGCCCCGATGGAGAGCCTTGGACTATAGAGATCTATAGAGAAGTACGGAGATGTGCGATTTGAAGAGAGCAACTCAATTGTTTGTTTCAAATATCCCGAAATATCCCTAAATGTTTTTTTCCTTGTGAGGTACCGCTTCCATGTCGACAAGGAAACCATGTTGGCTCCACAGGCCTTTTGGCGGCGGGAACTCTGGTGAGTCAGACATGACATGGCAAGCAAAACAAGGCTGCAAAATCTGAAGGTGTTGTAAACATGAGTTCAAAACATGTTGGAACTAGTGTTGCAGGCTGGAAGGTGAACTGCCATGCAATGCCATTCAATACCACCAAGATCACCAAGTGCTTTTCTGGAGACGTGTGTACTGTACAACGATTTTTCAAGCAGGGTCAGCATGTTTTTCTTTGGCAACATACGTGCCGGCAAAGTCAAAGTTGTGACAGTTGTGACAGGTAGTTTGCCCAAGGATTTGCGCTTTCCTCCAGAATTTTCCAGAACCCCCCAACTCCAGAGTTGATTTCTGCTTTCTGCCCCAGGTTGCACCTGATGAGTCATTTGAGGTTGAGACCAACCATTGGGCGTCAGGCCATCCACGCTCTGCAGTGTCTTTGGTTTTGGCTAAAACATGGTCCCATAATGTCCCATATATATATATATATACATGTTATCCTCATATAATCCTTTTCACGTTTTACTGGCCATTATGGGTATCCGGTATCTCCAATTGTTTGGACAAACCACGTATGTGCTGCATGGTGTTACTTTGCCGTCAGAGTCAGAGCGAACATTCACAGTTTTGCAACACCGTTCCTTGTGGGGCGCAGGAAATGAGAGCGAACCTTTTTCTGCGGTGCCTCGTATAGGCCGTGTGAAAGGAAGTGCCGCTCAGCTGCATTGCGGACCTGAAGAGATAAGTCAAAGTTTGAGATTCCAAGAGATTCCAAGATGATTTTGTTTCCGAGGGATGTATTCTGTGCGTGCACTTCGATCACTTCTCATAGTACTCTTTGGAGCGGACTGGAACGCTGTCGAATTCCAGGCTCGGCGACATACCTTGCGCCACATGATTGGCAAGACGCCAGACATGGGAAGCCCAGCTGCGGCCTGCGCCGCTCGCGGGTTCGGGCAAAACCATCCGGCGGGGCCTGTGAGATTTTCTTTGGAAAGTCAGAAGTCATCAGAAGTCAGAATTCTGATCCGATGTGGACAGGTCTGCCCAAGCTGCGGCGGCCCAGCGCGTCCCGCCATACTGATGTTTGGTGCCTTGGGCATCCTTGGGCCAAGTCCGTAAAATCGACTGTAAAATCTTGACACAATCTTTTGATCCATGTGTATTGATCCGAACTGACATTTCGTTCGATGTTTTGACATTGTTTGACATTGTACATGGCCGAAATGTCTCAAATCAATTCAAATCATCTCAAATGGTGCAAACAATGGTTGATAGATGATGATAGATGTTGATAGCCTGTTTGGAGATATTTGGAGTGGCTTGGCAGCACCAGGTGACTACTCATGGCGCGACAATGATGCTCAGGAGGACCATGCGAAACACAATTCGAAGACATGCAGGTTTAAGCGGTTTAATAGCTTTGAGTTCGTGCTGAGATTCTGATTCTTTTCATTGTGGAATTTCAAGTCGAAACCTACTCGAATACTCACCTGGACAATTTTATGGATTGGTTTAAGGAAAAATCTACAGGAAACCATCGATTTTCCCATTCAATATGAGGCTTTCCTGTAAAATTTCCCTTAAACCAATCCATTGATTTTAGAAACAGTCAAGATTCTGCACGAGACTAAGATCAGAGTGATCACAGCATTTGCATAGCATTTTGCACCTGAATTGTTTCAGGCTCGCTTCAACACCTGGACCGAGCAGGTGAAGGAGTTGGCAAGTGAAAGTTTCTTGCCACGTGACAACACATTGAAAGGGCCTCCAAAATGAATAGTGAGATGTTATGAGTACGGTTGGAAAAACTTTGGACAATTTCGAAGACTCTTGAAGAATGTTGAAGAATTCAAATCTGTGGATGTTTGCAACACCTTTGGATCCTTGAAGAATCCTAAAAAAGAGGGCTGACAATCATGCGGTAACCGAGAGGAGCGATGTAAAAAGTTCAAGACTCCGACTTCCATCAGAATCATGGGCCGAGGAAAATCTTCTCCCTTGAGAGTTGTTCTATTGGAGGCGCCCTAACACTGCACTTGAGCGACGCCAAAGAAACACTTCTGTTCAGCTCAGCGGCTGCACCAAGATGCACCAAGTATCGTACCAAGTATCATTGTGACGTCGTGGGATTCCGACAGGTCGGTGCCGGGGGCAATGTCTGCGCCTCAGACTCTGAGAGTGTTTGCCAACTTTGCCATGCACTGCATCGATCGCGCAGCCGGGAAAGCTAAGCAGCTAAGGTGACAACCATTCGGAATGCAAGTGAGTTCTTGCTGAAGGAACGGATTCAAATCACCTCATTACATCTCATTACATCTCATTACATCTCATTGCATCTCTTAAGACTCTTGACTCTTGTGCTTTTCACACCTTTTCACATCTTCTCACATCTTCTCACATGGTTCGCGTTTTCTCATGGTTCTCTCGTGATTTCTCTCGCGATTCAGTGCACGGTGACACGGTGCCAGGAACTCTTGGAGGCTGGAGCTGATGCAACGCTTCTGCGGGTGAATCCAGAAACCTGGCGCTGCGGACATTTTGACCTCAATTTCTAGCCATTTAAACATGAACGGCAAGAAACCTGGCGCTAAGATCATCTAAGATGATTTTTACAGGCGCATCATCTGCCATTTAAACATAGAACGGGAACTGATGTTGTGCCACTGGGCTGGTTGGAGGGATTTACAAATGTAAATCGAAACCGAATGCGTTGGTCCATGGGTCCATGGGTCTCTTTTCAATTTTTGTTGCTTTATCACTCGCCCAAAGCCACTTCGGAGCAGCTCCACATGTCAAGGACTTTCCGTTGGCTGATAAGAGCAGCTTGGCAAGCACAGCTGCTAACATGTGTCCACTTTTACTGGAAATATAATGAAATATACAAATGGGCTAAAACTGTTTTCAACGAGTCTTTGTACTATCTCAGAGGATGCTGCCTTATCTTCTGAACGTGATCTTCTGAACGTGCGCAAACGACACCTGTGACAGCTTGATTTTTAAGGAGACCTTGCGCCACATGTGGTCAGTCTCATGGGTGCTTCAGCAGCAAATAGTCCAGCATTGCAAATGGGAGAATTTCAAGTGCGTCTCCAAAAGTTCGGACCAAGAGCAGGTCTAGGAGTCTAGAAACGAAGTCATCCAAATACGGTGCAATGATTGCAGCATCCATTGCAAACTGTCTTCCACTTGCAAAATACATCCGAATACATCCAAACATATCCAAATCTTTCATTCTGACATATTCTGACATATTCTGACATATTCTGACATTCTTGTGCCCTGGTATCGGGTGTCTGGTATCAGTGAAGGCCGTGGCTTGGAGTCTCTGCGGATGATGAATGCCTTCATGGGCCCTGCTGCTTTGGTTCGTGAGATGAGCTCTGCCCCGCCTCCTCCGCCGGACGTGCCTCCGCCGGCGCCCGTCGAACAACCGGGACCACCAGGACCACCTCCCGCAGGACCTCCGCCAAGCGCGCCTCCACCCCCTCCGCCGTGATAGGATTGACGAAGGCAAGATAGGCAAGTGACTTGCAAGTGACTTGCAAGTGAGTCAGGCAACGAATCAGATTGACTTAGATTCAGACGAATGCGACCATGAGACTTGAAATATCTTGAAATGCTGCGGCATTGTGTGCGTGAAACCACGACGACAATGTCCACAGTGAAGGCTTTTCCAAAGACCTCACGGCGCTGTAGTTCGACTGTCGGACAGTCTGCAGTAGGCATCAAGACCTATTGCGTTGTAGGAAAAAATGTGAAGTTCCCAAGTGCAGATGTCACTGAGATGTCACTAAGTCGACGTGCACAGTGTGTCACAGTGTGTCACAGTGTGTCACAGTCAGCCTAAGGTGCCCAAGACAGTGCCACTGCATCACCGCATGCGGTGTGCACAGAAAGCTAAGAAAGGCACCTGCGAAGAAACAGAAACAGAGTTGATCTCCAAGACACAGAAAGAAACAGACAAGGCTTCAAGGCTCTGATTAATTTTTTATGACAGGCCCACCACAAAAGGGCATTGAGAATTGCGTCCGTACCTCAAGCATGGAATGCAAAAGACATCAGTCAGAACTCTACAGGTCGTAAGACACTGGGCTGTGGACAGTGCAGACAGGTTTGAAATTTGAATGATTTTGAATGATTTTGAGTTGTGAGCGAAGCTCCGCTGAGGGTTCGGGCAACTCAGCACCTCCCTCCGAGGTGGAAAAAGACTCGACACATTTGACACACTATTCACATCTATTCACCGTCCCAAGTTGTCCTGAGAGATGTCTCAGTGTCTCACAGTAATTACTTTTTTTGAAGCTGGTATTCACACCCTTTCAATTGTTCATCAATTTTTCACTTGGTCAGGAGTTGAAAGCTGCTCAGCCTGAACCAAAGCGTCGTCGATTTAAGCAGGCGAGGATACGGGACACTGCATAACAGAACGAGCAGACCGACCAGACCGAGCAGAGCTGAGGTTCTGTATCCTTTTTGAGGACAATTCCGGATGATTCTGGATGTCTTTCGCGTCTCACCCACTTGGAAACGATGCCAGGCAGAAGATGCTCCACGGCTGCCCCTCCAAGAGATTCGTCAGGTTTGGACTGAGCATATCATGGCTTTGCTCCGTCATAACTTTGCCGAACCTTTTTCCATCTTTCTCCTTTTTTTATTGCAGATTACCTGAAGTATTTCGGAAGTATGAAGATTACCGGAAGATCATGAAGAGACTTCCACTGCGAGGCCTCCCGCAAGAGCGCTGAGGTGTGACGACGACGTCCTGCGCGCCTAATGTTCTGTCCTTCATGGAACCTGAAAACACACGAACACATGAAGAAACGAGATCATGGAATCATGGCACAGCAGATCCATCGTTTTCAGTTGAGCTGAACGATCCACAATGCGACAGTCTGAAGGACGGCAGAAACGATTAGCTTGAGGCCCCCAAGCCCAAAGCCAAAGGCCCAAAACGGCAGCCTCCAAGTGCTGTGCCACAGTTTGGCCAGCGACTGCCAAGTGTCAGGAATGCTCAGAGACCAACCGTTTTTGTTCAGCTTGTGCAGGGTTGTGCAAATCAAAATGTCCGTTCCTGGTTTTATCATGGCATTATGGCAGCATGATTTTGAAGAGCACGAGCATGTTTCTTCCGCAATCTTGAATCTAAATCCGACATATATCCGAGAAATGTCAAGAAATGTCAAGAAAATGATTGAATGGTTCCTAATGCCTGGCAGCTTGACCGTGAGCTCACGATGTGTTTTGTAAATCTAATTGGATGCAAATTCGGCTCTTTTGAGCCTCGGCTATGCAATTTCATGTCTTGCTTGTTGCCTCGTTGCAAGCCATGGTAGACCATCCCAAGCGCTGGAAACACATCTTTTGACAAATTTTGCCTGTAGCCTGTAGTTGTTTGTCTTCAGAGTTGCATTTCCCAAACATGTCAGATGGGCATCGTATTAGGGCGGCATTGGAAGTCATAAAGATGGTTTGAGGTTCCTTTTGTTTCTTCATGTGGTTCCCCCGTTCCTTTTCCAGTATTCCCCCTTGTGCTTGACATCTATGTGTGTCACTCTCTTAATATCTTCATACAATGATCAACAAAAGGCATTCGTCACAAGCGAGACAGCAGGTACACACCGAGCGTGTGTGTGAAGTTGATGCCGGCTTTCGGAGGGGTCCGAAAAAGTGGGCTCTGCGCCTGCGCATGCGTTCATTGGTGAGGATTCTGTGAAACTCGTGCTAGAAGCTTTCAGATGAGGTTCTCATATGTTTGCTTATTATACAGCAAGATCAGCAAGGCAGTTTGTGACATTGTGATCATGATCAATGGAGATCAGTGGAGTTTGTGATGCTTCCGTCATGACCAGCTCTAGAGATTGGTGCATAACTCACTGTCCAATGATGCAGCCAAAGCCGGAATCTCAGGTGACTTGCAAGGCTGACATGACAATATGCTCTAACACAATTCCAATATGTCATTTCATCATTTCACTATATTCCAATCTGTTTCAATATGTCATTTCACTATATTCCAATATGTTTCAACATTTCAACATGTTTGAAGATGTTTCAATGCATTTCATACGTTGCATACTTCGATATACTTCGTGCTCACTGCTTCGATGAGGTGCATGCCATGGAGAACAATTTCGAAGGAGAGCTTTCCTCAACGAAGGTCAGCTTGCCAGTTTTGGCTGGTACACCACAAGTTATTGCCATTTGAATAGCCAAGATATGGGAAGATTCTTTCCTGAACCACTGGATATATCCGGATATATCTGGAATTATCTGGATATATAGGCATTATCGTTATGATTGTCAAATTATAGGGCAGTCTGATTGTTGGAACTGTGATAGCTTTGCAATTGCAACACCATGAAGTATGCAGGACCGCAGCCCGAGGAGGAGATCTGCCAATGGATATCAGTATGGGTGGTTTTTGTGGTATGGGAATGGTTGACCCGTTTTGTGAATCAATTGATATATCTTTGGTGAAGCTGTGACACATCACCAATGGCAGCCATGCTGGACAACTTTGGACAACTTCCGCTTCTGCGTCACGCCACAACGATTGAAATAAAAAAAATGAAAAGATGAGAACAGTATAGAAAAGTATCGCCATGTGTTGCCATGTGTTGTCCTTGACCCAATGATTCCAACAGAACTCTTGACAAACCCTGTCGACGAACATTGGTCTCGAAAGTTGATTGTGTCCTTGCAGCCTTTTGGCACAGTTTCATTTGTGGGCACCTGCAACGCCAAGGCCGAAGTGAATCGAAGAAATCAAAGATTGAATGAGAAAATCATGAGAAATCCGCGGTTTTCGTTTTGACAGGCCGTGCTTTGTGGTAAAACTGTGTGAAGACCTACCTGCATGGGTCCGAACCGTATCGAACTGTCAGATTTGCAGCTGATGAGGCGTTGGGTGTCCGCCTGTTCTAGAGATGGTGCCTTGGCACAGGGAATCCGAGTCCGAAATCAAAGGAAATCGAAATAAAAAAGAACTTGTCAAAAGGATTCAAAAGGAACATTAGAAAAATTGTCAACTTGGGAGCGGGACGGCTACATTCCAGGGCCGAGTATGAGTCACTGTCTGACTCCATGGCCATGTGCATCATGTGCCTTTCTCTTGACTTGAATCAGTCTGAATGTGTATCAAGAATCAAGAAGAATCTCTGTCTCACATCACAAACAGACCTGGGTTTTACCAGTTCCTTTAGATTTAGATAAAAGCCGGTCCTGACACACCAGAGATAATCAAGATTGCATTTTTTGACTATTGTATACTATTGTCAGATTTTGGAGTGCTGAACATGTTTTCCTGAGGTGATACTTCAACTTGGCGAGGGCGTTCCTGCCGATGCAAATGTATCCAAGGAGCCCGAAGCCAAGAAAAAAGAAGAACCAGTTGAACCAGAGGAACCCGAACGCACAGAACCAGAACAAGAGGAACAAGAGGAACCTGAGGAACCTGAGCCAGAGGCGGATGGTGAGAAGATGTGAGAAGGGAGAAGGTTTTGTCCCAAACGGCACCGATTTGTCACATGCAGCGCATCGCATCGTAATGCACGTAATGCACGTAATGCATGTTCAGCCTGCGCCGATGTTTTTTGGCCAGGGAAGTGAGCCCGACGGCGATGAAAGTTGCCCAGAGGAGTGTGCAATTTGCTTCGAATCGGGCAATTTCGTGGACCTCCCGTGTGCTTGTGACCTGGCATGTGAACACAGCAAAGTTCTTTCAACATCTTTCAATACCTTGCCTTCTAACCCTGAGAGTTGAATGTAATCTATGCATATACATACAGCTCATACGTATATGTATAACATATATATATATATACAATATTATATTACATGTACGTTATGATCCTCGAAGGATTCACATATTATTGGAAGTCCTTCAGTACCACACTTAGAATATAAGTATAGTACCCAGCCGCACCATGGCGGAAGTTTTGATATTCCAAAGCTACATGCAAGGCCTACTCCGCGAGTAGGGCAGAAACAGGACGGACAAAAATGAAGCGAGGGCGTTAACAAAAGCATAGTTGTCAGCTGACATCGACATATCCCAAGGTGCTGCTGGTATCATACTTTGTTCCACATGGTAGCCAGCGTGCTGAATTTGAAGCATTGAAACTGTACTGACCGCAGCAAAGACCTGTAGGGATTAACAATTGCCAAATCACGAAAGCAGCGGTAGCTAGCCGGAATTTCTTCTTGCTTTAGCAAGGTATGAGGCATCCCCTCCCCCCACAGCATTTTGAGCAGGGGCTCAATCCGAACCCAAGCCACCCAACCTACGCCACCACCCAACTCATCCCACCCACGTCACTCCAAGAAATCATATATATATATAACTTATAATATATAATCATATATATATATATATTTGATATTTGTATATATATATAGATATGATATATATATATGATATATATATACACATATATATATATATTATACATATATAGATATATAAGTCCACCTCTTTCACTCCACCTCGCCCATGTTCCTGTTCTCATCTTGCCTGGCACTACTGGCTCCCATCTTACCCTGCTTAGCTTTCGTTCACCAACCTTTTGGGATCCTTTGGGACTCAAGTCAGAAATGCACCAAGTCAGCAGGCTCTGGGTCACGCCTGTGACCTTGAAAAATGATATCTTGATTATACAATAATGATGCCCCTAATCTATAGCATCAATGAACCACAGGACCTTGCAATGTGAGCAATGATGCGACATTATTATTGATCCATGCGTGTTTCCGAATTTTCCCCGTCACTCTGAGGTTCGATCAAGTACTGCGGCAGCTGCTGGGATCGGGCGCTTGCCGCCTCCGTCACGGTGCGTGGCAAAGCCCAATGCCCGTCCTGCCGCGCAGCTTTCAATGTCCGACCCCCAGAGGATCGGAGGATATCGGAGCATGTGGTTCTGTGGTTCTTCTTAAAAACACAGATGTTTCATGATGTTTCACATTTTTATACATGTTTGCATGATATATTTAGATTATATAGATGATGATTGTGAGAGATTGAAGTGTTGGAGATTGGTTTGTGTGGTCTAACACAATCATGTAGACTAGATGACAATGGGAGTTTATTTCGAGACTGCCGATAATTTTAATGGATTTACATGGATCGGTTTAGATTTATTGTTACGTACGCAGATTAGATGACATGTTTTGGATGACTGTTTTGGACTAATGTTACAATGGCATCTGAATGACGCATTGCTACACATTTCTGACCCCTCGAAAGCCAAGGTGGACTTCGATACGGATAGGGGGCTTCTGGTCTTCTCGAAGGACCCCGAAGGCACCAGAAGCTAAACGGAAAAGAAACTACATCAAACATTATCAAACATTATCAAACATCATCAAACATCATCGAGCATCATCAAACATCGCCAAACTCCAAATCAAGGATTGTAAAGTCATGCGAAGTCCAGACTTCATTTGAAACAGTTAAAATTTTGACGACATGCTTGACAGGTACAGGCGCATGCGATTGGCGAATACAACTTTATGAAAAGGCAACGTCTGCAGATTTTTGATAAAGAAGATGTCACAGACTTGCAAAAAGGGATATTTTTCGAGAACTAGATCAATGCTGAGAGATCCTCAACAAAAAATCATAGAATTTGTGAGTTAGCTTGGTTTTTAGCATTCTTGCAGCTTCGTGGGCTGTTCGCAGGTTAGAGGGGTGCAAATAAAACTTCTGCAGGGCTATGGGATTGCTGCGCTGTGCCCTGGCGAAATCTCTCAGACGTCACAGAATGATATGATGATGAATGAGCAAAATAAGCAACGGCAGATTGATGCAGATTGTGTGTCAATTCTGAATTGATGTGTTTTTGATGTGTTTTTTTTCATTATGTGGTTTTCATTGTGATTGTGGTAATTTTTTGTCAGAATCTGATCGGCCACGAATTTCTGTGGCTCTGAGGGGCCCATCTCCGAGCAGCACGAGCAAGACCGACACCGCTCCACACTGTGCCCTGGTGATGGGACACTGCGGAGAAATTCACAGTAGATATACTTTGGACATCTTTGGACATCTTTGGACATCTTTGGACATCTTTGGACATCTTTGGACATCTTTGGACATCTTTGGACATCTTTGGACATCTTTGGACATCTTTGGACATCTTTGGACATCTTTGGACATCTGACTTTGCAAATTTGGAAAAACGTGTTGGTTTTCCTCGGCGATTTTGAAGGCATTCCCTGGCACCCGAAAAAAACATCACTCGCGGGAAATTGTGGGACCACTGGGACTCAGACAGCTTATCGATAGCTTATCGACAGCTTATCGACAGCTCTGCTCTTTGATATGGTTTGAGAATGTTTGATGTTTGATATGATCAGTCTTAAAGAGCATCGTTAGCATGCATTCGTAAGTTTGAAGAGGTTTTCCATACCAAGTTTCTTGTGCATGTTGTCCATGTCTTATTTCAAACGAGGTCTTTGTGGAGCAGAGCTCGAATACATCACTAGCCGCGCGCGGATTGTCCGGCTACTAGAAGACATGGATCCAAACTGGCGCTCCCGTGACACTTATGACATGGTCGAGCGTCTATTAGAGACTCGCCGCAAAAACTGATCTTCTTTGAGCTGGACACACCATTTCAGAAAGCCAAGATGCAGGTTGTTCCGAGATCCCCCAATGGAAACGGATTCTTCAGGTCATAGTGTAGATCCGACCAAGCTTATTGCGGGACGAAGTTCCGCGATGACAAACCTGAAACAAAACTCCGGTGTTATTTTCCATGCTTCAGAACAACTCGGAACAAAGTGGGTAACGCTCCAAGCCTGACACGCTGAACCAGGAGAGCTCTCTGGTGACTTGCGACCTGTGTGAGAAAGTCGCAATTAGCTCCTTGGTGTTGCAGAGCTATCGAACCGTATCTGTATCAAAATCTGGCCATAGCCTTGGTACCAGTGTGAATTGACATGGCTAAATGGCTTAAATACCTTCGGACCTTTGGTGCATTGAGTGCTTCATCCCATTGTTGCATCTCCGCTTTGAATGGATGCCAATGCCACTCTTAGACAAAGAGAGGGCACGGCATCATGGAGTGTATGGAGAGTATGGAGTGTGAGTCAACTGAGGAAGCAAGGGTCTTTGGACTTGTAAGAATGGCCCGCACACAGTCATGCACCCCGCAGCGTATGACGTGTGTGCCTTGCTGCACTCTCTGCACTGTGCATCCTGCACATTGAATTGATGCTGTGGTGTTGAATAACGACTTGACTGAGTCATGCTTCATGGTTGATCCAACGTCATTCAACTGTCTTCGTTTGAGCCGACAGCACAGTTCTTGGGGAAAGCCTTTCTTGGTTTGTCGATCTCAGTGATCTCAGGCGAGGCGTGCTTCGAGAAATACTCCGGAGTCAGCTGTCTTCAGTTTAGCGACGACAAACAAAGCACCACCAGGAGCTCTTCGAAGCTCGAACGGGTTGTGGAGCTGCCATGAGACACAACGAAACAGGGTAGCCCGTGACATCCGTGACCTACAATCGACATGGATTCTCAAGTATTTAATCATACGTATTTAAACATGAATTAATATTTATATATATTTATATATTTCTAATCTAAAGAAATCAGACGTTTCCCCTCGGACGAAGCGTTTCGATTTCCTTCAACTATGTCACAATCCTTGAAGAATTAAGTTGTGAAGCATGGTCGAGATCTAAAACCGACCTGAGACTGAACCGTTTCCAGAACTTTTTGCCAGGACCAAAACTCGGTCAGTGTTGTGCTGGGAAAGCACTAGAGTAGGACAGACCTGTTCCCAGGCCAGGGTCACGGGGTCGCGAAACCTGGCAGGTTTCGAAACAGCGTTGTCACGTAACACGTACAGAGAGAGAGAGAGAGAGAGCATCATACGTATATTGGATTCATTAGTGTATAAATAGATAAATAAATAAATAAATAAATAAATAAATATTAGATATACTAGGATATATGTGATTCTAGACTCTCTCTCTCTGTATATATTATAATATGATGCATTTCAATGTGTTGTTTTTGAATACGTTCACATCTATAAACTTTGGTAACCTTTTCAGGCCTGCACCGCTGTGCTGGGGGTTCTACGAGGCCGTACTCGAGGCCGGATCATGCCGTATGTGATGCATATTACGCCCCTGTTATGCGATATCTTGTGCACATGTTTTTTAGGTGCCTTTTGCATGGTTGAGCATTTTCGCGAGCGTTGTAAAAATATGTAAAACTGATATACTTGGGAAGCTAGGCAGCTAGGACCAGATGCCAGACACAGAATCTGCAACACCTGCTTTCAGAATCTTTCAGACCTTTTCTTGATGTTGTTCAGACTGGGCTTGACATTGCTAGAAGACTCGGACCAGCAAATGTTGTCTTACGCCATTCAGTTTCAGGCCACGTCACAGTTTGAGCAGACCTGGTGCTGGACTGATCATTCGCATGCACTGAATCAACAGTTTGCTTTTCATGTGACTTGTGGTTCTTTAGCATTCTCGAACTGCCTACTCTGACCGCTTCTTTGTTCTAAATCCACTATGCCAGTGAATTGATGCAAAACTCCAATGCATTGCATTTGCACTTTGGTGCTTTGAAGGACGCCTGTGGCCGAGTCAATCATAGTTTGATTTGAAAGACCATGGGGTGAGGGCAGACTGTCCACATCTTTTTTAATGCGGTTGGCGAGACCCAAGCAGTACAGCTTGCAATGCACTCTTTGCCAAACAAAAATATGTTTCTGATGATGACATTTGGCAAAAAAGCATTGCACGTTAGCTTGGAAACTTGCCTTGACCTGGAAAGCCCAGATCTGAACCACCACACAGATGATTAAGCTCCACGTTTGGCCAAGAACATTGGCAGACGAAGCATTTTCTCGGCTCAAATTGGCCGCCAGATTGGTGCAACATTTGATCCTGCACCGGCGAGCAAGTGCTATTTAAGGAGATTTGTGAACAAGTGCCTGAGATTTAGGAGATTTAGGAGGTTTGGGTGGTAGGAGTGTGGATGCCAGGGCTTCTGATCTTGGGGTACGCGTGAATTCCAATAATTCCGTGACCCGGGATCTGATTTCCGTGAGATCCAAAGCTTGTCCGTCTCACAATTGGGAAGTTTAAAAAGGTGGACAAAAAATGACATGAACAAGTATAAAAATGTGAGCTGGATGGGAAAGGATCGGGGGGTGGAAAACTCTCATCAGCCATGTTCCCAAGAAAGCCGTGTATCAAAGATAATGCGTGCATGTTTTAAATGTTTAAGACTTCAGGTCGGAGTGTAATCGGTAGGGTAAATTGAGATGTAAAGCTGGGTTCTTGCGTCCGTGAACGCTGGATAGCCCGGCTGCCGTCTGCATTCTATGAGGTGGCCACTAAGAGCGAGACAAGGATGTGTAACTACGTGTCACTATTACATGAGATATGATAAATGTATCTCCAGTGGCTCTCTCAAGATGCTATGAAATTAGTTATATTCTTTGCATGTGTCCGCATCCTTTTGCCATTTAATCTCTTCGAAGGTAAACAATCTGAAGAACTTGTTCATCCACTGTTTTCCTAGACATCCACAATCAGAACTTGTTCAAGTTCAAAGAGTACAAGCGGACACCGCCTTGCGACTGTGCCAATGCCACTCTTGTCGCAGGCAACGTTTCCAAAACTCTGCGTCGTCACTGCCAGATACACAGAACAGCCACTGCCACATTCAGAGCTAACAAATGACAATCCCAAGCCACTCCTTAGCGAGGCTCGCTTTTGGAGCATGCTGCATGCAATTCTTTATTCAGTCTTTATGCCTTTCTGAGACTGTGGCTGTTGCTGGCTTGTGATGCCTTATTCTATCCGATTCGATTTCGCTGTCAGATCCGACTATACCGGCGGAAAAAATGCGGCCGTTACGACTTCTCATCTTTGTTAAGCCTCATTGAAACTGATACAGGAGAGCAGAAGCACAGAACCCATGAGAAAACTGTATGCCATATTGTGCCATTGTCAGAAACAGAACGAGAATTGGTCGACGTGAGCCAAACGCTTGCATATTTTGCATCCTGTTCAGGATGCAGCTTGATGGTACATCTGCCCAGATGGAGAAGTCTCCCTGGCGTGCATTCTGATATCTTCTGCACATGCAAGACGACATTTTTTTTATGTTGCACCAATCTTGAGTTTACACTTTGATTTCTACAGCACGTTCTTTGAGTTTCAAGATGGATGTCTTTCCTCTGCTCTTCGGTTTCTCACGAAGTCTTTCTGTTTTTGCTTTCGACTGAACACCATGAGTGCCCAGTCTTGCATAAGACCGGTTTGAATTTGAAGGTGGACATGTGATGACACATCTTAGGATGAAGTTGTATGTGCCAATGTGATGCGTTTTCAAGACAGTTCAGTCAGTACGACCAGTCCGTTTGCAAACTGTGATGATGCAGCGTTTCGGCTTGAAGCAGAAATCAAAGACATAGAAGCTTTATGAAGCTTTAGTGACTTTAGTGGACAGGATGTGGAAACGCACCTTAGTAGTACCAAAGAGTTGTGTGCAATGGGGCGTTTTGATCGCGCAATTTTTCATTTCATTCCACAGTTCAATTCGACTGTTCCATGCAGGCACAAAAGGATACAAAAGGCACATGCGGGCCCTTAAAGGACTAGGCTTTTCCTAAAGGCAGGGTACTTCAACGACAGCAAATGGATAGCTCCGTATACCTCTGTCGATGCGATTGATGGAATGTGACGCAGTCAGAGTGTTTCAGGCCATTTCCAAGATTATTAGCTGTGTTCCCATTTCTTCACTGTTATGTTGACTCAATTTGGCTAAATTTGACGCAACTTCATGGAAGGTCCGCTTTCTTTCGAACTTTCGAAGCAGATTGCTTGTGGTGCTGGTACCTTTGCTCTCAGCCCAGCAGCAGCCCAAGCTCTTTCTGCTCTCGAATTCTCGAAACTGGTGAGCTTGGGAAAGTTTTTATTTCGTGGCACCTGATTGGAAGGTATGTTGAAACTGTTGGTGTTCCAATCAAATTTGGACTTTGAGCGTCTCGAGTCTCAACTAGGTATCCTGGCGAAAGTGCGGGTTGCTGGGATGAAAGCTTTACATATCAGAGGCCACCATGGGTTTCTTTGCCGATTGCCAAGTGTTGCCACATCAAATTCAGGTTCAAAGTCCATTCTAACACCAGAATTTGTTCGTCATCTCAAGTGTATCATGATCAAATTCAGCTCCTTTGGTAAAGTGAACGGCCGCTAAAATGGACTAACACTTAACAGACTCAACATGCTAAGCTGCTTGTGAACAGCTATGAATTTCATTCAAAGTATCCTGGCATTCTCAGCCACTTCGCTCTTTTGGGATTGTCTCTTCCACTAAAGAGCACACCATGTGTGGAAATTGTATTCATTGTATTCATTGTATTTTCGAATCAGGTGTTGTTTGGAAGACGATCCAATTTGCTGGGAGCAAGAGCTGAGTAAGGAGCACTTGGCGGGTTTAACAGGTTTGCCTCAGGGATCCAGTGATCTTTGATTCCGTCTTTGTATGGATCTTCACTTGTCTTGTCTTGTTTTGCTTTTTGAAATCTTTTGAACATATTGATCCCTCGCTAGGAAGTATGCTGCTCCGCCTTTGTTGAAGCAGCGCTTCGAAGTGGCGAGAGAGGCACGGCCAGAATTGCTATGTCAAGATGCGGGAATTCTGGATCTGGAAGATCTGGAAGTGATCGTATGGGAGAAATAGCCAGATGCATCCAGATGCCCTCGAATCGAGATGAAAATGATTTGTACATCGAAGAAGTCGTGGCGAAACCTTCGTTCACCAAAAGATATTGATTGTATTGATTGAACCATGTTTTGGACCGACCCAGGGTGTTGTAAATTGGCTGGTCCATCAAAATCCGACCAACATATTGCTGTTCGATTGGGCCTTCTTGATCCCAAAGAAAACACAGCATCTAGAGGGGTGGATGCATTTTTCCAGTGTTTTTTGTGTTTTTTGTTTTTTTGTTTTTTCCTCTTTTTCTTCTACCCGCCCTTTGGTGCCTTTGTCCTCCATAGAACCAGGGCCAGCGCCCTGGCACTTTTCAAACTTGGAAGATGCTGTGGTGCCCAATGCAAACACAGAGCCAGAACTTCGACGTTGCACCCAGTCTGCAGCGACCCAAGGCATCAAACTGCCGTTGGGCTTGCCATTGTTTTCATGGTTTTCATTGTTTATATTATAATTTAATTATATATAATTATATATATATACATATTATATATGTTATATTTTTTATACAATGTTTTAGCTCATTTTCTGTTTCTGGATCTTCGAGACGTTGAAATGTGCATTTTGTGCGTCCCTCTTCGATTCCTGGGATCCAACGCTTTGATCGGCAAGATGCGGCCGCAGGCATGGACGGCATGGAAGCGAACCAAGTGCTGAATGACAAAGAGAAGGACATGCGACAGAAAGCCGCCATTTTGCCTATTGCGACATGAAAATTCATGAAGCACAGATGAAGCACAGATGAAGCACAGATGAAGCACAGATGAAGCACATGGCCGACAGAAAGCCGACCATTGCATGGCCATCAGGGCCGATTTTGAAGAGCAGACATCGAATCATCGAAGGATCTCCTTTGCGAAAACAACTTTGTTCAAGCAGCTGCTTGTATTGCAGGAAACTATGCTGGCACCCAGCAAATTTTGTATGCCAGGGTGAGATTGGAAAGGGTTTTTCTGTGTTTGCTTGGAAAGAGCACCCAAACAGAAACTTTTCTATACTTTTCTTGCCTCTTACATGGGTTTGCCAAGGATTAGCAGGTGTCAGGGTGATTTTCGACATATTTCTCGGAGGTGAATGGCATCGTTTGACGGCATTTGAGCGGCAGTGGAAATGAATTCGTGACGGTCAATTTTGACTGTGATGGTCAAGGAATATGACCTGATAGAGACCTACATGTTTGTCACTTTGAAACACTTCCAAAAGAAGCATTTGGTTCAATGATGGTTCAATGATGGTTCAATGAAATCCAGCTACCGAAAATGACTGAAAATGTCAGCTTGACCATCGCTGCACCGTGCCACACCGTGGCTGCACGGTGCGAGGTGGCTGCACGGCTTCTGCCATGGCGCGTGCGTCGTTGATGGCCGGTCGCCGGCCAGGTGCGGAGGCGCTCGAAGACCGTGCAAAGCGAAGGTCTTCTTTGTGGAACGTGTTTGACACATTATTGACACATTTAAAATCATTTAAATACATTTAACAAATATACATTGAAGACACTTTGATTTGAATCAGACTTGTTTTGCAGCGTCAGAAATATATCTCAAGTCAAAATGAAGGTTTCCTAAAATCGGACCAAATCATCTAAATTAAACCATTTTAGTATTGAAACCCATGGTTTTGGAAATCCCCCATTTTAAGAACCTATTATAAAACCAACCTTTTGCTGGGGTTTGTGAATCTTCCTGTGCTCCATGCAACTAAGCTATTTCAATGCCGAAAATGTTACTGAGACATGGACATGGGCCTGGCAGACATCTATTTTTGAAGGACAGTTGCTGGTCTTAATACTTACTAGTTCACCGTGAAAGCTCTTGAACCGCATTGTTATCGTGCAGTTCAATGCAGATAGCTCCAACCGATTTTTGACTAGTTTGGTTTCAGCACCTTGACCATACACAGCATATGTGTTGTTTGCTTCACATAAGTTCGAGATGTACCAGCGTGTTAAACCATTATGTGGTTACATGAAAAAATAAGGGTCAGGACCAACAGGAAATATATCACGGGAGACTTGCAGAATGTTTCCAGTGAAGTTTTCCCAATTCGATCATTTTTTTCTTCGATTTGAATGTTGTTCTGCCATGTGTTGTCAGAATATGTCAGAATATGTCAGAATGGTTCCTTTCTTTCCTGCATCTATCTGCATCTTCCTCAGATCTTCGCCTTTGATTTGCCTGAAAAGCTGTCTGAGTCGCTCGCTCCTGGGAGCCGCTTATCAGAAGGCGTGATCTTCAAGGGATGTGTTGTTTCTGGGATTCCTCCAGATATTGCTTATGATATCTCAAGATGCTTATGTTATTTTATTGCGTCTCATATTGTCTCATTGTACTTTGTATATCTTATCGTCTCGTTTCATGATGTTGAAGAATGTATTTTGTTTGATTTTAAGTTTTTTTTTTGGCAAGTGGAGGTGAAGGAACTTGGTGGAACATCGCTTTGCTCAACGAGACCCAGAGTCCACAGCAGCTGCAACAGGTGCTATTGGAGCCAAGGTGCAGGACAAAATGGACAAATACAAAAGATACAGAAAAAGGATGAAAAAGGTTTGTTATTGTTTTTTCATGTTTGTTGCAATGTTGAAGACTGGTATAAATTATATAAATTATTTGAGTCGAGGAACTCAGGCATAGGCGAGAAATTCCGCCAAAGAAATTACAGCAACAGCTACGCTGGTCCAAGGAGGTGACTCAAATTGCAAATTGCGGATCTTGGGCAATGTTGGACCATGTTGGACCAATATTTGCAATGCAATTCTTGTTTTGGATTCACCATTCGCCATTCACCACCGTTCACCCCCGATCAAAGTGGAGGCTTGCAAGTCTACCTCGTTTGGTTCTCATTAGTGAGCACTTGGAGGCGAAGAAATCGTGGAATTCCTTGGATGCCCCTTGGACTGGCGCAGCCATGCGCAGCCTATGTCACCTCAAAGAGATTTCACACTGAAGCTGTGATGGGCTTTCGTGAAACAAATCTCAGAGAAAAATACCGAAAAGTACAACGCACGTAAAAGAAGTGACTTTTTTGGCTGCGCTGCAGTCTCTTAGAGTAACCATTGGGTTTATCAAGGTTCTTTGCCAGCATCGGCAGCCCGTGGATTTCGTCATCGTGGATGCAAGCCCAAACGTTATAATGGAGAAGGAGTGGATCATCATCGAAGCAATCTGCCAGCCGAAGCGTATTTTGCTTACGAATCTCAACGTTCCAGGTGGCTTGCATATCTGCAGATGCGAAAGACATTGAAGATGATGGGAGTATTTGTAAGCGGTTCCGAGGATATACAGTATCCCGAATAAAATGTCAAACAACTATCAACATATACACGGTATACATATTAAAATACATATTGAACAACAACAATATGTATAAATATGTATTAGATATATCAAGACATATTAAGATTCGCATCTTAAGCATCTTAGATCCTACCAGACGCCTGGCATTGGCCAGAGCTTGATACAGGTGCTGCTTCGTGGATCTGGCAACGATTGACCCACCTTCGTTGGCACGAGGCAACAGTTGCGAGCGGTACCTGATGGAATACCTGGAATTTGTTTGGGAAGTGTGAAGATACGGAAAGTGATCTTCGTGTTTCAACCGCTCAAAGTGTTGAATACAATTGGAACTGGACAAGTGCAACGTGCAAAGCAGGCACTTGAGGTTTTTTCTGCGTTGCCATGTGATTTGTAACGCTCAAGGGCCCTGTGGACCGGAATCGAAAGGTGCTGATGCACCACAAAAGCCCAAATGCGACGGGCGATGCAGGCAAGTCCTAAATGTAAGTGTTGTTCAGGATGATTTCCTGCAATCACTGAGTTCAAACTGGTTTGGTGGCACATTCACATTGGTGGAGGAAGGAAATTGCCAGTCATCGGTCAACGCTGCTCGAATGCAAATCTCGACTGCAATGTGAGCAAACTGTAAGCCTTCTGATGCCACCAGGATTGGCATGTCGAAGGGAATCACATTCTGGTTGTACATGAAATCTTTCACCGGCTCGGCCCCAAAGTTGTGTCGATGCCAGGTCTCCTTGACAGTAGCCAATCCATTCCTGCAAATCTGTGATCTTGTCGTCCTTGTCATGGACTTGCTGGGCCAACATGTCAATTCGATGACGTTGATTTTCCAGGTGCTTGCGCATCTTTGGAATCTCACCGTCCGGCTCGGTCTGAGTCGAGGTGCCCTGCAAGAGTGGGGAAGTTGTCCTGGTTGAGCCAAAAGAGCTCCTCAAGGACCATGTCATTCGTTGAAAGCACTGCCAAATGAAGAGAATAAAGACGACGATGAAACATGTGAAGATGATGTCAAGGAAATGGTCATGAGAAGAGTCTTCGCCTCGAACTGGCACAAGCTGGTTGGTCAAGACCACGTAGCCCAGGCTGCCTTTGTGGACCATGCGTCCAATGGCATTGCGACAAGCTGATGCTTCTCGTTCAGCTTGCGTCTTTCGCTTTGCTGCCTGAAAAGTCTGATCAGCTTGAAGAGAAAGCAAGTGTGTCCTGATACGGTTGGCCAGGGGCTGGCGCGCCGCAATCTTTGTGTGACACCATGTGGAAGTTGAATCTCTGAGCTGATCCAGCGGAGCTTCGTGCCATTTTCGTCCATCTTCTGCTTGACTATCATAATTTCAATCTTGGTGCGTTTGTCTCCTTGAAGTTGGGGAACTTCGGCCTTGATGCTGTCGAAGAATGCCTTTGCGTCAATGACCGGTGCTGATTGCATTGCAATGTCCTGAGTGTCCAGGTAGCGCAAATCAAAATCACGCACCATGCATCCATGCCAAAAGATCGTGAGATACTCCAAGGCATCCATGGCAGCTGAGCATGCTTGAGCTTCGGAATTCAAACTGCTCCTGCTGATTCGTGGTAGTTTGAATGAGCACCAATCAAGAATGATATAGGGCTGGCCCATGTGTCCTTGAAGAACCTTAGAGTGCATGAGAAGGACAAAGTATCCACCCTGGGACACGGAAAAGCTGTGTGATTTTCAGTCCAGTATCTGGATTGTTCGTAGAGAATCTCAGAAGCTTGTTAGCTTGTTGGGCTGTTGACACCTTTGCTTGAGAAACTTCTCCGCATAGAAGACTTACGCTGGCGCGCAAATGAGGTGCGCTTTGGGTAGCAGGCCACTGAAGACGTCCAAGCAACGCACGCTTGAGTTCTCGATCTTCTTGATCGCCGTTTGCTAAGGTGATTGGCTTCACCTTCATGAGGCACTCTTTCTGTTGGATGTGCGTGAGATGACATCCACAAAAAGCCAGCGTTTCATTTTCTCCTTGTTCACGCCAATGCTTGAAGGTGAATTCAGCTTTCAGTCGTTTGCTTCGCCTCTTGATATCGCTCATGGTTTTTGTCTCCTCCTCCTAGAAGGTCATCAAAGAGACATTGGTCCAAGGCATGCGGCTTGTAGCCGATGGAGATCAATCTGCGTCCAGCAGCGACAAACCACTGTCTGGGAGCACTGGCTTGTCCATATATGGGTTTGAGAAGCCGCATGAGTGTGCCAGGTGGCACTCCTATCAATTAGCAAGAGTCCTTGGGATCTTGGCCCACAGGATTCTAGTCTGAGGATCACCCTGAAGGAAGGCAGTGGAGACGTCGGAGATGAACAGCTTCCACATCCAGCATGTTGCTTTTGCTAAGAGGCACTGTCGTGACGACCTTGCCAATGTCGGTGATGAGGTGTTCAATTCACCTTGAAGCAGATCTGGGTCGCCAAAGCCCTGAAGCACTGACCGTGCTTTGGCTCTTCCATCGCTGGTCCACTTGAGGAAAAACGAGCTTTCATAACTCGTTCCCAGGTGACTTTCTCAGGATGTAGTTCCACCTCCCAGACATTGAGCTCAGCCTTCTTGCCCTCCACGAAGGCCAAACGATCTTCCAAGCTCATCTTGCAGGTTCTTTGACGCCCTTTCACTTCGGGGAAACTTGCGCTGTCCAGATGTGACCACCGCATCGAATTGTCTGGTTATATTCTGGAGCTTCTGGGCAAAGTTACCCAAGTAGTATTGGCCTCGATTCTCAGCAGTTTCCTCGGTCAGGGGATAGAGTGTCCTACCAAACCACTGGTCATGTCCAAGTTGAACAGGCTCGGAGTCATTGACGTAGACCTGTCTTGATCCACGCTGCAAAGTCAGGCCAGTGGTGGTCTGAAGTTGGTCTTGAGGAATTGGGAATTCTTCAGCCTGAAAAGTGTGGGTTCCTCTGAGAACATGGTTTCGGACAAGGAAGCCATCCTCGTAGCTCCAGTAGTCCACAGCGTCGCCAGGATAGAATTCCTGTGTTTTGGAGTCAAAGTACCATCCTTCGGGCAGTGCCGTGGATTCTTGCCCTTCCCCTCCACAAAAGAGATCAACCTGCATCTCAAGTTCTTCATCATCCTGTTGCTGTTCGCCTTCAGGGCGTTCGTGAACAGGCGGAGGACGATTTCTCGTCCAGATGGTCTCTTGTTGTTCAAAGCGACGTCGTTGTTGTCTGAAAGTTTCTCCTTGAGCTGGTATGTATGTTGGATCTCGCAGGTGCATAGGTGGTGCACTGCTAGGAGCCACAGGTGGCTCAGATTCAAATTCCCCGTCGTGAGGCACTGGTACTTCGTGAGGAAGTTCTGCTTCAATCTCGATTGGCATCAATGTGTCATCCATGTGTGGGTCATTTGGATCAACAGGTCGATTTGTTGTTGAGTTTGTTGGTTGAGGTTGCCTGTCAGGTGGCACGGAACCAGATTCGTGTGGTGCTTGAGAAGGTTGTTGGTGTTGTTGTTGATCTTGCTGCTGTTGTAAGGGATGCAGGTTGTTGTGGTACATGCACAGGTCGTTGGTGTAGTTGGTCTGGCTCATGGATCTGTTGATCTTGAAGGTCTGGTTGATCTTCAGGTGAGCTGATCCCGGGTTCCAGCTCTTCTAGGGTGTGTTGATTGATCCTTCGAAGATCAACTGTGCGAACAACTCATCGTTGGCGAAGGCCAGCTGGTGCTTGTTCGGCACTTTGTGATCCATTGACCACTCCATCGTCGCTGACAAGTCGGCGAACATGCTGTCGGCTTGCTCGGAGTAAGCACTGTGCCATGTGCCAGCCAGTAGGTGTCGATGCAGCCAGTGTCGGGGTCTGTCTGAACGGCGACAACCACTGCTGACCCCTCCATTGGATGGTATGGAAGCGGTTGCCCGTTTCCCTCCAATACAAGCAGCATTCTCCTGGATGAAGATCTTCGTCATTCCCAGTGAATCTTCTCAGCATTGCCCTCCTGAGCTTCACGTCGATCGCAGCTCGGGGGCAGCCATACTGAGCCTTAGCTTTCAGCTCCAGTCTTCGACGAAGTCGATCTTGCTCCGTTTGTTGAAGCTGAAGTGGACCGGTTCGGTCATCTGAGATCAGTCCAGTGTCCAGGAGAGAGCTTTGTGAAGACCATCCAAAGTGTAGAGCTTGTTCTCGGCCATGAATATGGAAAGGGATTTTCTCAGAAGCCGATGTCGACGTTCGACTACAGAGGTCCTTGGGCTTGTCCTGGAGAGATGCGCATCTCAATGGCATGCTCCCCTGCCCACTGGGATATTTCGTCACTGCCCCATCCTGACCATTCATCCACACTGAGCTGCTTCGGCGGACCAAAAATTCTGATCCACTCACACTCCAAGGCCTTTCGCAATGAACCACTTGTCTCATCAGGGATGGTTCGTGCTGCCATGTACCTGGTGGCGGTGTCAATCATCACCAGGACTGCAATCTTTCGGCTTTTGGAAGTGGTTGATGTGGCATTTGGAGCGCCATCAATGGAGCTGAGGTCAATCCACATGGTGTCAACGTGCAATTGCTCGTTGAACTCGGTGTGTCGTTCTGCAAGTGCTCGTGCTGATTGTTTCTTGACCGCGAACTTGTTGCAATAGGGACATTCCATGGCCTCTACCGCTGCAATGACTTTGGGACTGCACTTCTTGGCCTGCAACATCTTGACAAGAGTCTCCTTCCGTGGGTGTCCAAGATTTCGACGGAGCTTGTAGGCCAGTCTGATAGCCTCGTGGCCGGTGAGCTCTTGTGCTTCTTGATCTTGTTGAACTGCACAGGCCTGTTCAGACAGTCCTTCATCATGCATGAGAGCCCTGGCAATGTGCCAGGAGAGCTTTGCTTGGTAGTTCTCGGTCTTCTTGCATTGATTCCCACCTGTTGAGGATCGGCAGTGCAAAGTCGTGACGTGATCTTGCACATGGCTCGTTTGGTTGTCTGGCTTGATGTCGGCTTCTTCACGAGCCAATCCTCGTTGAGAAGTGCCACAGGAGCACTGATCAAAGGTGGTTCGTTCACCTGGCACGTTGTTCAAGGCTGGTGTTTCCCAGGCCAGGCTGCCCTTGGGATGCTCTACATGGGCATGTGCTCCTCGACGCACTTGTCGCAAGTAAAGCTTTCCACAAAACGTGAGGTGAACTTCATGATCATAGTGCCGTCGCTCTTGAAGGTCCTGCCAATCCGCATCGTTGTGGATGTTGATGGCTTGCATTTGGCTCTACAAGGTGCATCTTGGAGACGTAAATTTCATCAGGTTCAAGTTCATCGGCCATTTGCAAGAGCTGGCGCCGATGAGATGACTTGGTAAGGTCCCAGCCGTTGTGAAGCCCAAATCGCATGACTTCGGCACCCATGAGTTCAGCCGTTTCGCCAAGAAGACCTGTGCCACTGTAGATCTCCCAAGTGAGCTTCTTCCTGGGTTGAGCTGCTGTGGGACGATTGGTTGCAGCCAGCTGGCTCTGCATCCAGACCCATGTCTTGGTCATTGCACATGGGTCTCGTTCGACCACTTCATCCTTGTTGAAGATCCTGTCAGAGGCATCGTCCTCCACATTGATGTAGTTTTCAGCTTCATAGAAAAACTTCATCATCAGGATCTTCGGTGAACTGAACCTCGGGTTGCATCTCATCATATCGGCCTTCAGCTCGAAGATCTGCCAGAAAATCTCGTAGATGCTCGGCTCTGGAGTGATCATCATCTTTGGCTCGCAAATCAAATCGAGGGTCTTGGAAATCAGAAATGTTCTGCACATTGTCAGCCAGCTTGAGAAGCATTACATCTTGCTTCCCACGCTCGATGTTGGTCCATTGACCGCCCAGAATCTTCATTTTCCCAGTTCCAAAGTCCACCACCGCTCCAAGCTGTTCCAACACTGGACGACCCAGAAGCATTGGTGCTGCCCCAAAAATGACAAAACATTGCATGCGCCCAGGTGTGTTGGAAATGAAAACGGGGGAGCTCGATCATCCATCGTGAATGACCTTCGGCGTCACCCCCAAATCTGAAAGACTTGTCACAGCGCTTGAAGACAATGTCATCCATAGGATACCCTTTGATCTCCAGCCACTTGAGATACCACAGGATGTATGCACGTGCCCGCATCCTTGGTGATCCAGCCACCAGCTCGCACCAGTGCTTCGCCCTGTGCGTAGGCCTCTTCAATCTCAAAGAACTCATCAGGTCACCAGATGAAGAAGACTGCTGGTGAAAGACCATGTTCACCATGGGATCAAGATCAATGACACGTTTCTTGCTGGAGCCCGATGCCGAAGAGCTCCAGGGTTGAGTGCAGTTGGCCGCTCGATGGCCGGTTTTGTCACAGCGCAAGCAAACATCTTTACCAAAGAAAGACTTGGCCTTAGGACCCTTACCCTTGGCTTTCTTTGACTTTTTGCCCTTGCCTTTCGGGCTTCCAGCGCCTGATGCAGCAAGAGGCATCTGCGTGTTGTCCCAACTGGGTAGAAGCCTCTGACCTGACGAAGTTGCTGTATGCGCTACTTGGCATCGGTGTATGCCGTGTAGGCCTCATCATACTCTTGGATGTCAAAGGGCGAATCATACTGGTAGGACTCTTCAGTCTCATCGTAGGTATCATCCCACGTCTCATCATTTGGATCATAGTATCTTTCATGGTCAGGTGCTTCGCCAGCTTCATCCCAGTAGACCTCATCGGTCTCAAAGTACTCTTGGCATTCACTCCCATCATCATACGAATCATCAGCACGCATGATCTGTTGACGGCCTTGGCCCTTCGAGAAGCCCTTGGCCTTGTTGGTGCTGGGCAAGTAGGTCTGCTTGTAGTCCTGGCCGAACACCTGATACATGCTCTGCTTGACATTCTTCAGGGCGAAGTTCTTGCCGATCTGAATTTGCACAAGATGCTGCAGATCCTTGGTGAGTGCTGCACGCCTCAGGAGCAGCCAACCTGTGATCTCATCAGGCAAGGACACCTTCAGACGTGAGACTTCCCTCAAGGTTGATGAGACTCTGTGACATATTCCAAAAGTTGTCGAAATGTTGCTAGTTTCCACTCGGCCATCGTACTTCCTAAACCGTTTCACCTTCGAGTTTTTTCAAGTCTATGTCCTCACACTGTGTCCAGCTGGAACCTTCTAGGATCGCTAAGACATTCATTCCGACTTCTTTCATTTCGCCCTGCCCTGGATCGCCAAGCGTCTGGAGTACAACACCACACGCTTTCTTCATTCCTTGTACCCACTCAAGTTGTTGTCAAAGCGAGGCATTCGCTACCAGAAGGAGGTGCTGAGCCCGATGCCGTAGGTCTCTTCGGAGCTTGCGAGCACAGGGTATGGAGCCGGAGGTTTGTAGGCTCCACAGCCAATGTGAAGATATGGAAAGTGATCTTCGTGTTTCAACCGCTCAAAGTGTTGAATACAATTGGAAATGGACAAGTGCAACGTGCAAAGCAGGCACTGGAGGGTTTTTTCTGCGTTGCCATGTGATTTGTAACGCTCAAGGGTTTTGTGGAGCCGAATGGAAAGGTGCCGATGCGCCACAAAAGCCCAAATGCGACGGGCGATGCAGGCAAGTCCCAAATGTAAGTGTTGTTCAGGATGATTTCCTGGCAATCACTGAGTTCAAACTGATTTGGTGGCACCAAACTCATAGGAAGGCTTTCTGAGACTTGAATTTTGGGTGAAATACCGGTAGATTCCATAAACTGAATGAGGAAAAAACATGAAATGCAGTTCCCGTTGACCCCCTTCAGACCCTTGCCGGGCACTACGTTCTTGATTTTAACCCCTGGCCCCACCATTCAGAGCTACGACGGCTTCGGAAATGGGCATTGCACCTTGGTTGAGATCATGCATCGTGATGCACCGTGATTGGTTCTTTGCGGTCTTCCTGTCTTTTACTTTCTGCATTTCATTGACCATGTAGCCTCTAGTTATGTTTCTTTAAGTTTCAGTGGGACAAAAAGAGTCTCTTCCATTCTCTTCCTCTTCCATAGGTTCTTCCCGTATCTGCATAGCGGAAGGGTGCATGTTGTCATATGTTGTCATATGTTGTCTTCGGTCCTGAACTTAGGCTCGAGTCGCCGATTTGAATCTGGTGCGCATCCCAAGTGACGAGATCAAGGCCACACGATGCCACACGGCCGCGACAAGGGCGACACCACGGGTCACCACACCGACACCGGTCATCCTGCCGCGCCCGAGATTCTGAGATTCTGAGATTTGAATTTGACACGTCATCAAAAGCGAAGGTAAGACAGGAATCCGAAGACATCGACAAAATGCGAAACGTGGCACAGATTGCAGGAGCAAAAGAGAAGAGCTGTGCAACTGCATATGGTTGAGGGAACGATATTCATTAAGGTCCTATGGCATTGGTCAGGGCGGTGTTTTGCCCCCTCTGCAACGTTCACTGCATGATTTTCAGCCAGGCTGATTTTTGGTGCGGACGATGCTGCTGCCTCTGAATACTTAAAGGACAGTTGATGCGGTTTGTGTTGCGTAGTTCGCTCAGCCAGGCTTTGAGATTCTGCAGTGTTCTGAACACATCTGCAGTTTTGGCAACGCATTTGACGCATTTGACGCATTTGACGCATACTCGTTGGGAGGACCTCATCAGCTCTGCAGGTCTCAAAGACGCCTGGGCTGAGCACCTGCCTCATTTCAATTCCATGACATGCATGAAATATCATGAGAAATATCATGAGAAATATCATGAGAAATATCATGAGAAATATCATGAGAAATATCATGAGAAATATCATGAGAAATATCATGAAATATCATGCGCAAAAATAGGAAAATCTGAAAAACTGGCCATGAATGCGGGAGAAAGGGAACGATGCATGCCAAAAGTTTTTACTGCGATGCATTTCACCCGAGGATGAGCAAAAAGTTTCGATCAGTCCAAACACAACATGCCGCGGCCCCAAACATGATACTACATGCAGTATTTGTGTTGCACCGCATACGCAGATGAAATCGCCAAAAGCAGGAAAGTCGGCTGAAATAAAAGATAGAGCCAATGAGTTTCTCAATTCCATACCTGTTTGATTTGTTCACTCATGGCAGCCTTGGGACACGTTTGTAAGCCGAAGCTTCAGGCTCATCTCATGTCCCTTGCCAGTCGGGAGGCTGTTGGCATTTCTTCTGTTTGCTGAAACCGCTGAAACCGCAGAAAGTTTGGCTTTGCCATGCTTAGCATCATGCTAACGATGCTAAGCATATGCAAAGCCATGTTTTGGCCCCAGAAGTTGCTGGTGCTGGTCATGTCACGAGGCTTTGAATCGGGACTACGTGACGAGACCGGAGTTCCGGGTGCCGATCACATTCTCTGAAAGACGTTCCGATCGTTCTGTGATTCTTAAAGTTCCAAGATCACGTTTCTGGAGGCGATTGTGCAAGAAGAATACAAGCAAGTCCTGCAAGATCACGCCAAGCGCCTGGCTGTTGTGGAAGCCCAGGCATGAAATGGGACGATTTCTATGTTGAGAAACAATGTAAGTCAGAACTTTGATGTTGCGCAGCATTGTGCTGACGCATTTTGATTGTCGATCTTGGCATATTCGTTGGGTGCTACACTCTTGTGCTCTGTTTAGTCAAGTCATGACAGAGAGATACAGAGAGCAGGTGCATGAAGAAAAGCAGGCTCGATGAACCCGATGAACCGGGCTCTGCCTCTGGTGAATTCGGACAGTCCGAATCTGTCCGAATTCCGTGGACCTATCAGGGAGACCGCAACTGTTCTGTCGAAATCCCGTTTGGTTCAGTAAATCCCCAGGCCCGAAAAAGGAATGACCAGATCATTATAAAAGCCAGATTGACGGAAACATAAATGGAACCTACATGCAGTGCAGATGTTTGCAAGGCTCGGGTAAAGCTCCACAAAGATGTCATTGAGCTGGCTGTTGGTGGCTCAGTTAGAGATTCGACCAAGAGCAGACTCCCCAATTTAAAATTTGAATAATGACATTTAATGACATGCAATGACATTCAATGACTTTTAATGACATTCAATATCATTTAATGAAGTTTAATGACATTTCAGTACATTGATGACAGGACATTGGTTTCTTCTAGGTTGTTCGCTGTGCCAAGGCCCATATCGAGGAGGAGCTGAATCTCACCCAGCCTCAAGTTGCAGCTGCGCATAAATGGCTGCAAAGTTCGGTGCTCAAATCTGTTCAAAAAGTTGTGCGGTATATCTATGCGTCAATGTATACCTATATACTGTTACTATATAATCCTATTATATTATGATATATTATATAATTATATGAGTTATATAAACTTACATATGTTTGGCCAAAGGAAGTTTAGGAAGAAACATCCGAGTTATGGACAAACAAAAATAGTTCAAAGCTGAAACAGAGACTAGTAGATAAAAGCCTGCAATATCGTTAAATGGCTAAGTTTTCCTTAGCTTCATTTTGGTTTTGAAGCTGGATCTAGTTTTGGTGGTGAGCCTTTCCTAGAAAGCCAGGTGCTTTTTTTCTTTGGGCAACTACGCCGCTGTGTACCATTTCTAGGGTCGATTTCATTTCCGGTGCCGCTTTTTTGGAATGCAAACGTTGCATATTTTATTCATTTATTGCGGGAACAAGTCTAAAGCTATTTCCCCGCACAAAACAACCAGGATGATTCGACTGGTGTGGTCAAGCAATTAGGCACTGCTTGATTTGCTTCTGAAATTTGATGGATTTAGGTTTGGACGCAAGGTGCCAAGGGCAGCATGATGAAGTTCTGAAGGCTTGCAGTCATGAGACCGGCAGGTTCAGATACCACCTTCAGCATCATGAAAAACATATGCAAGTGATATCAAGTGACGCACACCCAGTACAATTATCGTTCAACTTTCTCAGAAAAGGGTTCGCTTATGTTATCTCGGTCAGATTCTATGTTTCTTCAGACAAAGGTGTTTTTTTCCTGCAGAAGTTTTGTGTTCGGACGCATTGTCTATAATTTCCGCAAACTCGTTGACATGTTGCGCTTTTTGTGTCTCGAACACAATTTTTGAGGCGTTGAAAACCCAAGAGGAAGAGTTGCAACAGGCTGAGGACAAGTTGCGACAGGCCGGGAGTGGAGTCTGGATTTACGGAGAAGTCCTCAGGACAAATCTCGTAATGAGTGGTATGCAATTTTCAGTTCCGAGCAGAGAACATTGGAAATATTGCCGTGTTTTGCATTTGGCCCAGGAGGCAAAGGTCATATCGAAGAACCTTGATGGAGAAACTTTAGAGCGCAAGGCCTTTTTGAAATTCACCAGACTGGTGGTGAATTTTCGAATTCGGGAGATTTTTTTGCCCTTGGTAACGTGACAGATTTGAAACGTCAATTCTACCGTTTTGTCCAGTTTTCACGGTTTTCTTAGGTTTGAAACTTGATGGAAGCGCTGTGCAAAAACCTAGACATGCTGCTTTGACAAACGCATCTTTCGACCATCTACTGCTCGGCTCAGCGTTCAAAATACATCAAATCAGTGCAGGATATCATAGCAGATAAATCGCGGTGGACACAGAATGTTTCTGATGATTTGATTGTCCTATTAACGATGAGAAAAACGTAGAACAACATAAAAAAACTAGACGACGGATGGCCCGAGAGCGTAGAGGAGCAGAGTCTTCTGTTGTTAGTATGGAGACACTATATTACAAGATAATATATTAAAGATGTATTATAGGCAGACGAGAAGAGTAGTATCAAGACAATATATGACTAGTACAAGACAATAGTTTGCATCGTATTTTTGTAAAGTTGTTCATACACAGAACTTTTTACAGACAGACGCTTTTGCACACAGAGACTTTTACACACAGAGACTTTTACACACAGAGACTTTTACACACAGACGCTTTTACACACAGACGCTTTTACACACAGAGGCTTTTACACGCAAACACTTTTACACACAAACACTTTTACACACAGACGCTTTTACACACAGACGCTTTTCCACACAGAAGCTTTTACACACAGACGCTTTTACACACAGACGCTTTTGCACACAGTCTTTTACACACAGACGCTTTTACACACAGACGCTTTTACACACAGACGCTTTTACACACAGACGCTTTTACACACAAACGCTTTTTACACATAGGTTCTTTTACACACAGACGCTTTTACACACAGACGCTTTTACACACAGACGCTTTTACACGCAGACGCTTTTACACACAGACACGTTTACACACAAACGCTTTTACACACAGAAGCTTTTACACACAGAAGCTTTTACACACAGACGCTTTTACACACAGACGCTTTTACAGACAGAGACTTTTACACACAAACGCTTTTTACACATAGGCTCTTTTACACACAGACGCTTTTACACACAGACGCTTTTACACACAGAGCCTTTTACACACAGACGCTTTTACACACAGACGCTTTTACACACAGACGCTTTTTACACACAGGCTCTTTCACACACAGAGACTTTTACACACAGAGGCTTTTACCCGCAGAGACTTTTACACACAGACGCTTTCACACAGACGCTTTTACACACAGACGCTTTTACACACAGACGCTTTTACACACAGACGCTTTTACACACAGACGCTTTTACACACAGCCGCTTTTACACACAGCCGCTTTTACACACAGCCGCTTTTACACACAGCCGCTTTTACACACAGACGCTTTTACACACAGACGCTTTTACACACAGACGCTTTTACACACAGACGCTTTTACACACAGACGCTTTTACACACAGACGCTTTTACACACAGACGCTTTTACACACAGACGCTTTTACACACAGAGGCTTTTACACACAGACACTTTTACACACAAACACTTTTACACACAGACGCTTTTACACACAGACGCTTTGACACACAGACGCTTTGACACACAAACACTTTTACACACAGAGGCTTTTACACACAGACGCTTTTACACACAGACGCTTTTACTTTACGCACAGACGCTTTTACACACAGACGCTTTTACACACAGACGCTTTTACACACAGAGGCTTTTACACTCAGAAGCTTTTACACGCAGAAGCTTTTACACACAAACACTTTTACACACAGACGCTTTACACACAGACCCTTTTACACACAGACGCTTTACACACAGACCCTTTTACATACAGACTCTTTTACACACAGACGCTTTTACACACAGATGCTTTTACACACAGAGACTTTTACACACAGGCGCTTTTACACACAGACGCTTTTACACACAGACGCTTTTACACACAGACGCTTTTACACACAGACGCTTTTACACACAGATCTCTTTGACGACCCTCACACACAAGAAACGTTTTTGACGATCGACCGTCATTTCGTGCGAAAGGGTTGCTCGGGGACAAGTAAACTCGCAATTTTTCCTCAGTTTTTGACGATCGACCCTCATTTCGTGCGAAAGGGTTGCTCCAGGACAAGTAAACTCGCAATTTTTCCTCAGTTTTTGACGATCGACCCTCATTTCGTGCGAAAGGGTTGCTTTAGCACAAGTAAAATCGCAATTTTTCCTCAGTTTTTGACGATCGACCATCATTTCGTGCGAAAGGGTTGCTCCGGCACAAGTAAAATCGCAATTTTTCCTCAGTTTTTGACGATCGACCCTCATTTCGTGCGAAAGGGTTGCTCGGGGGCAAGTAAAATCGCAATTTTTCCCCAGTTTTTGACGATCGACCCTCATTTCGTGCGAAAGGGTTGCTCCAGGACAAGTAAACTCGCAATTTTTCCTCAGTTTTTGACGATCGACCCTCATTTCGTGCGAAAGGGTTGCTCCGGCACAAGTAAACTCGCAATTTTTCCTCAGTTTTTGACGATCGACCCTCATTTCGTGCGAAAGGGTTGCTCCGGCACAAGTAAACTCGCAATTTTTCCTCAGTTTTTGACGATCGACCCTCATTTCGTGCAAAAGGGTTGCTCCGGCACAAGTAAACTCGCAATTTTTCCTCAGTTTTTGACGATCGACCCTCATTTCGTGCGAAAGGGTTGACGTTTCGTGACTCACCGCCGGTACCACCCTCGGCCTAAAGAGAGAAAGATAAAGAAGGCGAGAGAGAGAAAAAGGAGAGAGAAAGGAGAGAAGATGTGAAGGTGAGAAGATGTGAGAGAAGGTGTGAAGATGAGCAAATGTGAAGATGAGCAGATGTGAAGATGAGCAGATGTGAGAGAAGATGTGAAGATGAGCAGATGTGAGAGAAGATGTGAGAGAAGATGTGAAGATGAGCAGATGTGAAGATGAGCAGATGTGAAGATGAGCAGATGTGAGAGAAGATGTGAGAGAAGATGTGAAGATGAGCAGATCTCAAGATGAGCAGATGTGAAGATGAGCAGATGTGAGAGAAGATGTGAGAGAAGATATGAGAGAAGATGTGAAGATGAGCAGATGTGAAGATGAGCAGATGTGAAGGTGAGCAGATGTGAGAGAAGATGTGAAGATGAGCAGATGTGAAGATGAGCAGATGTGAAGATGAGCAGATGTGAGAGAAGATGTGAAGATGAGCAGATGTGAGAGCAGATGTGAAGTTGAGCAGATGTGAAGAGGAGCAGATGTGAAGATGAGCAGATGTGAGAGAAGATGTGAAGATGAGCAGATGTGAAGATGAGAAGATGAGATACAGACCCCCACTATTGGAAGAACCCTGCGCTCAGACGCTCTCGGGAAAAAACAAGAAACCAGTTGTACTAGTAGACTCAGTAGACAAGACGCTACTGTCCCGTTAGCCGTTAGCCCATGGTGGCCATGACAGCTAAACTCTGTGCGCTGGTTTTGGTTGGTTGCGTGGGTGCTTTGAGCACTTTGGAAGAGGCTTTGGCAAATGTCACCTCCCAGGTGACCAACAAATTTGGCAAGAACTTCACTTTGAGCCTTGTCACAAAGAACTTGAAAGTCTTTCTGCATGAGACAGGTAAAACATGGTAAAACAAGATATGTAATTTGTTGTCGAGTTCAAGCTTATGGGACCGACAGCGCATCACAAAATCGTGGTGTCATAGATGTCTAGATGTCAACACGTGTGTAGGACACAGGCTGCATCAGACTGCCACGTTTCTCAGGATTGAGGCACTTGTTTGCAAAAATCACTTCTGCCAGCAGAAAACAACCGACACGATGAAGACGATGAGTTGCTTGGACATTGCCTCCATCTCTGATCTCCATGGACATTGTTTTTTATTTGAATGGAGAACTTCTGAGAACTTCAAGTTTCATCGATTTTCTGGTTCAAAGGTGGTCAAACCTGGGTTTACCAATCTTATCGAATTTTTGGCAACCTTGCGGGCCCCTTGGGCACTTGCATTGACATGCTTTTGCGTCGGATTGTCCATGAAGCGCATATTTACCATGACTGTCGCAACATGTCCCCTACATATCCCACATGTTCGAAAATCGTAGTATACCACGGTATCCTGTTCCTTAAACCTGTAGAAAGGATTACAAAGGCTAGAATTGGCTAGAAAGGTTACCAGATGTTACTAGGTAGTTGAGTCAAATCAGAGAGACTGCGTGGCTTAGAGGTGATGCGAGCTACATGAGAGCAGTTTATGGACATGGCATCCAGACCTCGCCAAACATTGAGGCGAGTTATGACAGTATGGACAGTATGGACAGTATAGGCAGCTGTGGAAGCCCTAACACAACCAACACATACCAACATTGTCTCTTATTTCTCTAGCCATCGGTGGCTCTGCGTAGATGTTGAACTACTCGGCACCACTTAATACTGAGTTACTATTGATTTATTTGATTTGGAATCCCAATGCGTTTGGGCCTTTTCCTTTTTTCGTACTTGCACCACTGGTCAGGCTCAAGTGAATTTGAGCTCCCTGGAAGTGAACCTCATCCGTCACAATGAGCCATTTATTGAGGACCACTTTCATTGTCTAATGAATCTAATGATAATTAATGATATGACATGCTGATGTCAAGAGCTTGCTGTGAAAGACTCGACAGACCCTTCGGAAGCTGTGGAAACTGTGGCTGTCGCTCTAGGACAATCCTTCGGCGACGTGGCCACCCATCTCGCAGCTGACGTTTGAAGCAGCCTTTGCAAGGCCTGCGAAAAGCGAAGATCACAGAAGAGCTTAAAAATAGCTTAGAAGGGACTCAACGGGATGAGAAATTGGTCAGTGTTGAGAGGGAGAGAGAGACACGGAAACAGAGAAGTTACAGACCAACAAAGTGGTACTGGCAGTCATCAAAGTCTTACATGCAGGGCATGGTGTGAGTGACAAACAGATATGAGACACGTATAGACACGCGCTGTTGATCCTGTGTCAGAGGCTTGAACGTCATTTGATACGCAAACAATCTAGAATTTCATCAACCACTCTCATATAGAAGAGCAGAGTTTGGTAGTCGAAGCCGAAATCTGAAGCACAGAGCTTGTGCAGTGTTTCTAGATGTTTCTAGATGTTTCTAGTTTCGCAGATGGCCAAACACTGTCAGGATCAGAAGCCAGATGGATGTGGCTGTGGAACAGGTCTGCAAAGTGCACAAAGATGTTTTAGTGCTTTGCACATGCTGCAGGGAACTCTTCGAAATATGGGCTGCCTCTCAACACAACCTCACCTGCAATTGTTCGCGCGATCACTCCAATACATTTCCATGATTTTGGTCTTTGAGAAGTTTAAAACTGTTTTGACCCTTCCACACAGGAGTATGGCGTTCTTTTGTTTCTGTCTGATATGTCTGAATACCTTCCATTGGTGTTTTCTTCGTTCAAATTGGCCTCGGAGGCGACATTCCGACGGCCCTTGCATCCGCGACTCAGAGATTATGTTTCGAATATTTTGAATAGTTTCTAATGTTTCTTGTCAATTTTGTAGAGATGAGATTGCAAGTTTTATGTCATATTTGTATATATATATATACACAATACACACACACACAGATATATATATATATAATATATATATATATATTTGTAATATTGCTGTGTCCGTATGTGGATGATTTGCTGAGGTGTGTGTCGGAGGACCTTTTCCAGTTTGAGCTGATCCCGGACATCGGGGAACCAAAGATCCTTTCAGTTGGAACCTCCTCTGGCAAGCTGTGCACTGGCTTCATCACAGACTCTCGGTATCTCTTGGGGTATATCCAATTAATCCAATTTGCTGCAGAAGTTTCTTGCGGATTTCATTGCCAATAGGAAACAGATCTCAATCCAAACTAGGAGGACACCTGGAGGACACCTGGAGGACACCTGCGGAGACAATCAAAAGATGAGATCTCCCCATACCTATGTGATCTATGTGTCACTCTATGGATATGTCCCTGCCGTTTGTTCACCACGACGAGTCATTGAGGGAGAAAGAAGGTTGCTTCATGTGGCATGTAAGACATTGTAAGACATGATTGGCTTGAGCCGAGATGACCTGAGGAGAAAGTGGACCGTGCTATGTGTCCTGAACCAAATTGCTATGCCGATATTATATTTTAAGATATGCTATGCGTTGCCTGGAAAAGACGTGGAGTGGAGCCTCCAGTCTTGGAGAAATAGCTTCTCTCCGGCACTTGGACTCGATACGTTGAGGCGTTTGGCCTAAAGCTGATGAACAGCCCAATCTTGACACCGATTTTGACACACAATTCTTTGCAACTTTGCAATATCATTCTGGCTGTTCATCATGCTGATTTGCGATGAAAAAAGCCGGAAGAACTCGCCTGGGTAGCATCGTAGCACGTAGCATCTGTGTCAGCATGTGAGATGAGCTTCACAACACGTGCAATTGGATGAGTCATGGTAGCAACATTACGCAACAGTGTGCAACTGCTTGAAGTGGCTTGACGTGTTGTGAATCATCCTTGTCTGGTCAGGTGCTTGGCGTGGAAGTCCGCAAGCAGAAAGAGTTCCTCCATGGCGATGCTTTCCAAAGGCCCGTGGCGGCCTGTATTTCCAGTTCGATATCAAGTTCTGCAAGTTCTACAAGTTTTGCTAACAAACACCCTTTTTCACCTTTTCAATTTGGCCTAAGCATGTCCAAATACGCTCGGAAGGGCCTTGCATGAGGTAACAATTCTGCCGAATTACCTCACTCCGATGTAAAGATTCTTCAACCACACAGTGGCTAGACTTGCTGCAGATTTGGTTCAGGATATTTCAGGATGCGTGTCTCGGAAGGCATATCGAAGAAACGTGCAACAAAGCGCTGGAGAGCTACGTTCGTAAGGAAGTGATGTTCGAGGAGGCTTTGGATTCGATGTGAACAGCTTTTGAATTTGTGCAGCTTTTCCTTTTTGCATGTTCAGGTTGGAGATTCGAGTGATTTCGAGTGCCAAAAAAACCAATGCTATTGTCACTATATTACGTCACTATATTATGACTTGTGTCACTATGTGTGCTTGCAAGAGTTCGACGAAACTGGATGAAACTGGAAGATCGAGGTGCAAAGATCCACTGAGAAGATGTGTAATCCACTGCATGAATTGATTGGCGCATTGAAAAAGGCGCACCGGTACCCGGTAGTACCCGGTACAGGGCATGGGGGGCATGCAGTGAGCTGCCTGAGGGATCACTACAATGTTTGTAGGAAAGATAGTGTCGCTTCCCTGTCCCGTTGCTTCCTACATCAATGCTGGAATATCTGGAATGGATTTGCGCAGGAACTCCACGATTTGGCAGAGGACTGCAAATGCAAAGATGGGTGCCCACCTGGCTTGACTTGCTGGATTAAGGTTGTTAAAGGTCAAAAGTTCAAGCCTTGGAATTTCTATTAGCAGGTACGTACACCAATGCTTGGAGAATACAGAAATACGCCTGGACCTCGGCATTCAGAAACATGGACCATTGGCTGACCTGTATGCGATCATTTAGCCATATTCAGCTTGAGTTTCATGTTTAATCCAGGTTTGCAGCAAAAGGATGAGAACCTCAGCGAGAGGACTGAATTGCATGAATTGCATGGATTGCATGGATTGCATGGCTAGAGTGACGACTCTGACCACATCGTTCTGCTTCCAGATGCACCGCTCCAGGATCAAGGCTGTGATGGATGAGCTTCCAGAAAAAGCCACCGTCGTGACTGTGGATGATCTCCGAGGTGCGTCATCTCGTGGCGTTTCTGCGGCTCTTCGTTTCAGCAAAACTTTGTTTCTGCGTTTCGTCACGTTTCCGAGTTGTCACAGCTGAGCTGGGAAATCTACAGCTCTTTTTGCACTATTGACACTTTCAAATTGGCACCTTGCAAGGCAGGCTTCTGTATCACGTGGATACATTGGAGAACTTCCACGTGAGGCTGCAAAAAGAAACCACGCCTCATCCTCAAGCAAGGGACGTTCGCTGTACTCTTGGCTGCGCGTGTTGTCAGCAAAAAATGTGAGTCTTGATCAAATCATATCAAATCGAATCAAATCAAAATTGACACACTGCTTCTTGGACTGTGAAGATAGACACTTGCTAGGCACAAAATTCAAGAAGTTGTGACCAGACTATCAGAGTTTCAGGTCATTCTGCAGGAGCCGCAATGTCGCTTTCCAGTGTTGACGCAAGGTGAGATGTTGGTAAACCATGGTGCGAAGCGGTCGGATTGACAAACTAGACTAGCTAAATCTAGCTAGACTGTTCAAAATGTTCAAACAAATTGAGTTGCCGTTTCTTTTTGCGATACAGATTCTGTAAGTTTGCCCCAAACGCAGGACCATGAGCACGCTTTGCAGCATGCTGCAGAGGACGGGGTCATGGCCTTTCCCAGATTCAAGCGATATTAAGAGATACCACGGATACGACTCAGATCCAATTCACCCCGTTGAGGGTTGTACCCCCCAAGACCTACCTTTTTGGCACTTTTGTTGGTATTTGCAGCGTTTATGGTCTATTTTGAGAGCTTTGCAAATTGGTGTCAGAAAATGGATTATATAGTCAATGGGGGGGGCCATTGTATGTACATATGGGCATACATAGTTTCTCTTGACTATAGAATTCCAACTAGGAATAATGTTTTGATAGCTACAATCAGTAAGATTTGGAGGTTGAACACCAAAACCTTTCAAAATCTATGTCTCCCACTGAATCATCCCACATCAATGCCAAACATGTCTGCAAACAAAAAACAATCACAAAACAAAAATAACAAAAAGCAGAACTGTGAGAATAATGTTTGGTTTAGGCTCAAAAGATGTTTTTCCCTACTTTTTTTGGTTTCAAAAGCCAAAAACAAAAAGACCATGAGTTTTTTGGGGGTGTTTCCCACTTTCGTTGGAATACCTTTTGGTTTTTGTTGTTTTGGTTTTATGTGTGAGGAATCCAAATCATAGCTTGGAACGATTGGCATGATGCACTTGCCTGCACCTGAATCCATGTGCCGCTGCCGTTTTACATTTCATGCGAAATACCATGCACATGAGCAGTATCCTGTTCTTTCTCTTTCTCGGAATCCGTCTCAACAGCTCCTGCCTGTGCCGACAGCGCTGGATTCTCAGACACAGGAAGTTCTCCTGCTCCCGCTGGAACTGCCGGGGCTGCTGAAGCTGCCGCGTTCGCTGCCATGAATTGCTCGAGTCTCCTAGACAAGGCCTGATGCACTCGCTGGGATAAGCCGGGGCCCAAATACAGCTTGGGCATAATCTGCAATTCAACTCGACAATCCCTCTAATGACCATGCAGACTACAGCTCAGCCATTTCATGCCATGCCAAGCACAAACTCTCTCTTGTTCATCCTAAGGTGCGTGACGCACACCTTAACAGATGACTCACACTTCCGACAAAGATCACACTCACTACTACCCCAAGATGCGTGCCGCACATCTTGACAGGTAATATGTGATCGACCAAACTTCAATGTCTCAGACAAAAACAAAATAATGCAAACTTGTGGCAAACCGCAAACTCAATCCAAATCCAACTGCCAATGCATGCACAACTCTTCACAAAACTGCAAAACAGATCACAGTGGTTTCCGCGCGTATAAAACCCATAGACGTGTCATGCAGCAAAAATGAAAACTCATGCAAAACTCGTGACAGCTGACAGAAAACCACACAAACTGAGTTCCACAAGTCCAAGTTCCGTCCAGTCCGAAATCGTCCAAAACTCTGAAATTCCAAGACATCCCAAAATTGTCATTTCACTCCAATCTCAGCTTGACAGCTCTCTCATCACAGCTTTTGCATTTCTCCTCGCAGCTATCGTCGGCTTCCAAGCCTAGCACTACCACCCGGCCTGGAACCATTGCAAAAACCTATACATTGGGAGGATATTTCCTCTGTACTCAAACGATCTGGTGAGCATCCGCGGCAAACTTGTATAACAAGTTGCCATTCTGGTCAAACTCCACAGATTTCATCGTGCCCTGCCAACGGTATTCGTTGGGCTTATATTTCAGGAGAATCCCCGCCTCGGCCTTTTGGAGATAGCCAATGGCGGTCAGTTCGACCTCAACCAGGACGTAATCCTTGGCACAGAACTCACCCTTGGGACCTTCCGGTGTCCAATCATTGAAGTACTGCGCACGCTCAACGGCAGCAACCGGGTCTTTTCGTAGTCCAAACCTTTTGGAATATTCGTCAGGCTGAATCTCCTTGCCATTGTTCAAGTCCTCAAACTGCTTAGGAGTCAGAGCCAACCAAAGACGAATGGATTCCATTGCCATTGATGCCATAGGATCTCAAAGCGATCGCGAGGGCAGCTGAAATGCAAAACACTGAGCCAAAGTTGTCTTATAGTAAAACAGCAACGGTGGAATGAAACCTATACAAACATGAGAAGTCCAGACAAAATGTCACGTCAAGTCCAGCATAATAGACAGCTCCATACTTCGTCTCTCACTTAGACAGTATGTCGAGCCACAAACTGACAGCACATTTACATTCATTTCAGTCAGTTTCACGTTTTGGAACCTATGCAAGTCGTAATCGCCCCTGCCGTCCAGTTCCCTTTGTCTCTTTCTTTCTTACTTAGTCTGTTCTCTGAGCCTATGCACGTCTGCAATCTAGCTCATGTGTGAACCTTGCAACGTCTTGCAATCTGGTCCACGTTTTGACTTTCTACAACTTTTCTTTCTTTTTGGAACCTATGCAAGTCGTAATCGCCCCTGCCGTCCAGTTCCCTATGGACCTATGCAGCGCCTCTGCCATCCAGCCCATTTCTTTCTCTTTTGTTGTAAGTCAAAACTCTTCAACTCAAAAGAAAATTGCAAATCTCAAATCCCAGATTCCCTCTCTTGCTTTTCACTCTGAGCAACACGCAAACGCACAAACTACACTACCGCTCTACTTCCCTCTCTCAGGATCCTCTGCAAAGCTCCAATGCTGCAAATCTCATGAAACTCCATGCCAGCCTTCTGGTAGTACAAGATGTCCACTCAACATGGCCCAAGGTTCGCAAAGGAAACCCTCCGGGGTCGACCAACATCACAAGCATCTTGTTCTCAAACTACATTTCTACCAAAGAAAATGCCATAACCATCGTAGGCAAACCACACTGGCAATCATCGCTACAAAGACCATAGAGCTCGCCTCACAGCCAAACTGGCTTGCAGACATCTCCGCGTTCATCCATCCATCTAGAGAGGTACGGTACGATTGCTCTAAGCCAAAAGGGAATGCTTGCATTCAAGTTGTCTTCACACAAAGTCCAGTCAGTCTGACAACAACTCCAGAGTACCTACCTGTCTCAGGGTTCAATGTACCTTCTCTGCATCTGTACCAGGTTTCACAAACAACTGCACCAATCCAAAGAACGTAAGTCATACCTGACCTGCCTGCGACACTGTAAAACTGTTCAGATTCCAGTCAAAAACATGGAAACAAACTCACAACAAAGTTTCCTGTTTCGTTTCAAATACAGTTCAAAACAGTGTCCACTTCCTACACAGTTCAGGTCGTTTCCAATGACTCACTACATGTCCCAATCAAACGCACTCACAACTGCAGTTCAAATCAACATCCTTGGTTACCTGATGCATCTGAGAAATCAGGATCAACGTTCCCAAACAGGCAAACACAGCTCACTCCGTTGTCAACCAACAGTCTCAACACCAAGTTCCACTGTGCCTTCAGTGCCATGACGGTTCCTATCTCTCTCTCTCTCTCTCTCTCTCTCTCTCTCAGCACTCTAGTACCTATACTGCCAGGCAAACAACCATGCTTCAGGCTTCAATCTCAGGGTCACCAGTCAGTGCAAACATCCGTCAAGCTCCACTGCTCCTGCACACTACTGAACCTCAGGTGTCCAACTATTCACGCATTACATTACAAATGTGGCAACTAAACCAAGGTCACTGACACAGCAAACTCGACCCTCCGTGGTTCTCATGCCAACGTTTCTCAACTGTGTGGCAACTAAACCAGGTCACCGACCTTTCCGGGTTCTCATGCCAATCTTTCTCAACTCTGTGGCAACTAAACCAAGGTCACCAACCCTCCGTGGTTCTCATGCCAAACTTTCTCAACTCTGTGGCAACTAAACCAAGGTTACTGACCCTCCGTGGTTCTCATGCCAAACTTTCTCTCTCCAACTGTCATCTCCAGGCATGACGCCAGGCTCAGTAGCACCACGCACTGCGCGCTCTGTGCGTCCAGGATCAACTACAACCTGACCAACCTGTCGAGATGTTACTCTTTCTTATTTTCCAATATGGACCTATGCAGCACCCTGCCGTCCAGCCCACTTTCCTTCTAACTCTTTCCAATGCTTTCTAGTGATTCTCCAGGCACTCTCTCTCGCTCTTTGCCAAAATCACCAAGCTTCCTAATTTCCCAGTGACTCTCCAGGCTCTCTCTCTCTTTCTTGCCAAAGTCACAAAACCTCTTACACAACCAAATCACAAGTCACACATGCAACGCAACTCAGCAGGCTGCAGCTCAGTCGTTGTCACCTATTTTCCACGTTTACCACTACTGCCAGGAACCCTATCGACCACATCTGGCAAATCTATCACACAGCAATGGGTCACAGGTATTTCAACCTTGCAATGACCTCTGATATCTGCCTAAGATATGCTCACGCATCTCACAAATCTGCCTTTGCATCTCGATCTCCAATTCTAAGAGATGATCGCGGAACATTGTCATGATGTCTCGTTGGTTCGCATTCAAACGAACATCTTCAAGCAAAGGTAGAAGCCATTCCATGAGAACAAGCATAGTCTGTACTATCCGAAAGATACTCGACACCTTCTCCAATCCGACAATCCACTCAATGTACCGTTCCTCCATTGCTTCACGTAATGGTCGGTTGTCGCGATTGTCCATTCTTGGTATAGACTACGTGGCGATACTTTCCTTGAGCTTAAACGCTACGGTTCCAACCAAAATGTAGTACCACTGGATTTCGGTTTCTCACCTTTTACTTTCAAAGACTTCTAAGCCAGTTGTCGGAGTTTCTACTGTCCAAACACTCCACTTGTGTCTCCAGGACCTACTCCCAATCTCAGCCTGTCGAGATACTCTCAATGTCCATCTCCAGGTAGGCTGTCGGAGTCTTCACTGTCCAAACACCTCACTTGTGTCTCCAGGACTTACTCCCAACCTCAGCCTGTCGAGATATCCTAAGCATTCCAAAACATGTCATCTCCGGCAATCAATTGACACGTCACCTTCAACCAATGACCTCACAGCCAACATGCCACACAAAGTGAAACAAAAACACGTCTCATCTGAATTAAGAATACTCAAGCTCTTCGATGCCCTTGACTTTACATCCGCAATGTACCAACCTAGTGATCACTGTAGAACCTCAGTACAAGCTCAACACGTATCCCTGCGCAAA